ACGGTCAGCACTAGGGTAGGCTGGCACCTAACCACGATAGATCAGGCACTAATAGCAGCCACGAAGGCAATCCTCCCTGCGTGGAGGACAACACCAAACGCAGTACTGCTAAGAGAAGCTGCGATGCCGTCGGCACAGGTGGCGCTAGAGGAGGCCAAGCTCCGCTTTGCAGTTCACCTACGCACGATAGACGACAAGCACCCACTTACTAATAGAACTACACTGCCACTAGTCATACGAGGACGCGCAGCGGGCAACCGACGGATACCAAGATCGAAGGTTCAGCGCGTAGCACAACTGCTACCCGCCACACCCCGAAACGTCCTAGCCAGCCCTCACTTTTCAGACGGGTCGAGGCAGGATCCAACGCAAGGGCAAGGAAAGGACATTGCTGCCCAGAATTTCACCATCTGGTGGGAGTCTCTTGGACAAGAGACAATCACTGTCTTCTCAGACGGGTCTGAACAACAAATCAACGGTACAAGGGTGGTCACTTACGGGTACGCTATATACCAGGGCCAGGCCGCCGTGGCGACTGGACAAGGCTCACTAAATGCCCTTAGCCACGTCTTCGATGCGGAGGCTATAGGCGCGTGCAGAGGACTCAAACACGCACTACAACTCTCACTGCCTAGCCAGAGGGAGATCGTACTTTGCATAGACAGCACTGCGGTAATATGGGGCATACGCGGAACCGCCCCTACCTCCTCCCAATGGGCGTTCCTCCAAATCCATGGAGCTATGGAGGCCTACAACGTGAAAACGCGGTGGGCGCCGGGACACATGAAGATTGTTGGAAACGAGCTCGCCGACCAGCTGGCTGACAACGAGGCCAAAGACCCGCACCAGCCATACGGCATGGCCGCCTCCCCCACAAGATCCGGTATACGAACAGTAGGCCGCCGCCTCCTCGAACATACAAGGGACACTTGGTGGAAGGATAAGAGCAGTAGGCTATCAGCATGGTACACGCAATGGCAGCTGCCATACGATACTAGGCGCACGCCCGCAGCGCTATGGCTACCCCGAAGGATACTCGCGAAAGTCCTTATGATACGCTCAACGCACGGCGACTTTGAATGGTACCACCGAAAATTCAACCACGAGGATACCTCGAAATGCCTATGCGGCAGGCCCAAGACGCCAGAACACCTAGTGTTCTGCAAGAGAGCCACAACACACTTCAAGAAGTGGCCTCTACGCCCCATCGTGCCCCCTCGCACAAGACAGGAAGGCCTAGCGTACCTCGCGCAATTAATAGACCAGCCACAAGAGTTCGAGACCTTCGTGAAGGTAACGAACTCCTTCTATGACGAGTGATTTCTATTTTTGAATTTCACAAAGACCCGCTGAATTCCTTGGCATTATTCAGTGTAGGATTCGCGGCAAAACGCCGCATAGATGCCACAACCCACACGCTCTCTTTTAAAACTTTCATTGTATCTTAAATTGCCTCTTGTTACTTTTTCGTTTCTCTCTCTAAAAAGCAGTTATTGTACTGCATCGATCAAAGGCGCAAGCCACGAAATACTAGAATATTGTAGGAAAACGGCTTCAAATGGCGGGAGTCCTTTTCACGAACATGTATATAGGCAGGACATCACTCCCCTTAGATACAAAACACCTAGGAATAGGTTCCACGAGGCAAGTGCGACAGCACTATAAGACCACGGCGGGACCCGCCCGAATACCCTATGGGAGGTTACAGATAGGGCGTTAAACCATAATCAACATCAACATCAACCAGCTGCCCCACGCATAGATGCCACAACCCACACGCTCTCTTTTAAAACTTTCATTGTATCTTAAATTGCCTCTTGTTACTTTTTCGTTTCTCTCTCTAAAAAGCAGTTATTGTACTGCATCGATCAAAGGCGCAAGCCACGAAATACTAGAATATTGTAGGAAAACGGCTTCAAATGGCGGGAGTCCTTTTCACGAACATGTATATAGGCAGGACATCACTCCCCTTAGATACAAAACACCTAGGAATAGGTTCCACGAGGCAAGTGCGACAACACTATAAGACCACGGCGGGACCCGCCCGAATACCCTATGGGAGGTTACAGATAGGGCGTTAAACCACAATCAACATCAACATCAACCAGCTGCCCCAGCTCAAACCACCCGCCGCGGCCGCAACGTCAACCTTCCAGATAGATACAAGTAGCGCAAGTTAATCGCAAGCATCTAATTACTTCAAATCTATGATATCTCGCGATAATAGCTATTGTCGGTGGCTCTACAACCTCATTTTTCTAAAGTTTTAGTGTTGATGGGGTGTGCATTACTCCGATCCGGGCATTGCGTGCACGGACACCTTAGTGGCTTGGTAGCTACCCGACTACCGATTTCCGCATCAAGCCAGCTCCTTGTGGCGTGACTACGTACCTAGGTGCCCAGCCACTCAAGGCGAAAAGGTCGAAGATTGGACGTGTTCCATCGTCAGTGACAGCTCAGCTCGAATGATTCATTCGTCCGACTTGAGATGATTCATGTGTCAGGGTAGCCGCCCTTCCGAACGAAAGAGCCTGAGGCTGAGAATACACTGCTCTTGCATGGTACGACCCTACACATTTGGCTTCCCCAGGAAGTGCACAACTGGATAGACATGCCTTACTTTACCTAGGCCGACTAGATGCGCTAAAGCCGGGTGGCCGTCCTCCCGTACGAAGGAGGCTGAGGGATCACTGCTCTAGCATGATCCTTGCGTACCGTCGGCTTCCCCAGGAAGTGTTTAAGCGAACAGAGTTACGTACCCTGTCTGCGCCGACTAGTCTACAACGACTCAATATGCGCGAGATATGCACAAGGTTGCGTGATCAGGTACAGCCTTGTGACCTCCCCTATCCGTCTTGGGTCCGACCGCCCGGCCTGACTGCCATCATTGCAGGGTGATCAGACCCACTACACTCAACACCAGAATACATCCGCGGTTCGGCGTATCCACCGTTCCAAGACCACACGTACCAATATCTGTGCCTGCACTGGCACTGCGCCTCAGATCACCGCCACAGGGTACTTGGTTCTTGTTTACTTACAAGCGATAGTTTTGCCTTTGCTTTTGCTTCACCGGTGGATTGCTAATGATGACAGATGGTTAGTTTCGGTGTTTACGCCCTTGTTAGACTGACATCCTCATCAACCTGTTGCGCCTTTGTACATTTCTGGTAATATGAAGATGTGATACGTGTATTCACGCGTTCTTTCTGTGTGCTAATAATATCTCTCTAGAAAATATTTCGCATTGCTACACCGGTGGATTGCTAATCATGACAGAGATTCGTTCTCGCTATTTCCTCCAAATCTATCTCCCAAGCATAATCGTAGCCTACCGAGTATCGTACCCCCACTCTTGTGGCCCATGGTACCCACATGACTTCAAATCATCACGATGATGAACTGATCTCGCGCTCGCAAGCCTACCTACACCCGAATCTCAGCTATGTGTAGGTGGAGAACGTGGGTTACGCGTTCTTTGTAGGCTAAGGATATCTTGCCGAAGAACTTTCCTTTATACTATAGTGGTTTGCTCATCATGACAAATACCTAATTTCGCGACTCACTCCTAATTCATCTCCTAATTGATATCTCAAGCCCTAACCCCACAGCGACCTACTCACCGCCTGATCACAGCTAGCGTGCTCGGCTGGATCATCGGAATGAAATCACTGTACGTAGGTAATGTGAGCGAGAGCAAATTTTTGGATCCATATAGTTAGCGTTTCTGTGCATGAAATCTTCTCATTCCAGTATCGAACTACCATTCTAACAGCACCAACACCGAAAATTTTTTCGAAAATATCTTGGTATCCATCTGAAGTCGTAAAACCCCCTATCAATCATGAACAAGACAAGAAAAGACTCCACATACACCCCTATCACCACCTTAGTACCTAAACACCACGCCCAGACACCACCCCTTCTCTTTCACAAATTTCCTGTACCCTCACATCTCACACCACCATAGTATTACCACCTCTCACATGATGGAAAAGTTATTCGCCCACCCCAACGGCCCAAACCCCTCAAACCCGGTCGACTGCGCATTCTCATCATCACTAGCCTCCCAACCAAAGAAATTCTGCAAATCATCGAGGTTAAACATGGGCTGCTCGAGACCCGCTGTCGTACTAGGCGACGAGTACATGGGCCCAATCGCGTGTTCCGAAGACGTCGCTGAGGCCGACGCTAGATGATTGGGGTCTGGAGCAGTCGCAGTCAAGGTATTAGACGTTGTTTTATCAGACGACGGCGCGGAGAAGGGGTAGCGGGTTGTTGCTGTGCGGAGTGTGGAGGGCGAGGTTGCGGAGAGGATTTCTTCAACCGGGGGTATGACTGAGAGAGCGGAGTTGCGTTGGCGCGGGGTGCCGGCACCGACTGTTGGGACAGGGGCGCCGACGATACGTCTAGCTTCGTTTTCAGAGGGGTCTTGCGGTGCGATATAATCGGCTGAGTGCCCACGGGCGAGACTATCGCGTACGGTTTCTAGCCAGCGCTCGGAGGTGATGCAGAGCGATTCAGCGAGGGGGTACATGAGCGCCATATCGCGGAGAGCTTGGTTGTTGTACTGAACTAGCTCGACTGTGCGGCCGATTACGGTTCCGGCGTCTGCTTTGGTTACGTCGAGGATCCTGGCGATGTAATAGAGCATGATGCGGCTGCTGTTGTAGACAAAAGATGGGAGGATGGAGTCTGCAAAGTGCTTGACGCCGTGCTGGAGGATATGTGAGACTAGCACTGACATGCGTTGCGCGTGCTCGAAGCAGACGTCTTGCAAGTGGCCCACGAACGCCTGGCGATCCGGTGGGAAGGCGAAGGGTTCCTGATTCTTGAAGAGGTCAGGGAGAGCGATCCTATGGACATCGCACATTACATGATGGTACATGCAATGGATAAGAAGGAGGGCACCTAGCTGATGGGTTTCCCGTCGGATGTAGATGTTATCCGCTGAAAAGTCTAGCCAAGACGGTAGACTTTGCTTCCATGCTTGTATATCCTCAATAAGAATCGCAAACCCCGAGCCTGGTAACCAAGGCGGTTGCTCTTCGTCCATATGCTTGACAAAACTAATATATGTCAGTACTCAAGTGTCGTGAAGTCCGAATTCGCATTGACTTACCGTAAAACACGGCGCCATATACTAACTATACGCACGTAGTATGCTGTCATGCCCAGATTATCTGCTGGCTTCTCCGGTATATCCTCAGCTGGCAGAAACTCCAGGAGCGTGCCTTTTTGCAGCCGCTCGGTAACGCAGGGTATCTGTAGTGAGAATTGTCGCTCGTTGCAAGGAAGTTGGATCTTGAGGTCTCTTTCATTGAGTATAGTGAGATGATCGACGCCGCTACCAGCCCAAACATCGATCATATAACACGCCCACATCAACCTTCGTCGCGACTCTCTTACAGATACCTCGTTCGGACTTCCCCCTACTTCCTTGCAAAGTATGTCTGGTGCTACTTCATTGTTCAGTTGTAAAGCATGTGCCATCCTGATGACTAGGCCGGTGAGAAGGAAGGAGCCAGCGTAATTACCATTCCTCGCCTCCTGATCATGAAGCAACACTAGAACCTTGAGTTTGGTAATAGATATGGTGCTGTAATCCGCGAAGAACATCTCTTCGGCCACCTTTGCCCATTGGCTCCCGGCTGACTGTATTAGGTGTTTGCTTAGGGGTGAAAACGACTCACTGTAGTCCAGCGCGTAAAAGCGAGCACCTAGTGCACACATGATATGTAAAAGAGCCTGATCGGATGAATCCACTAGCTGGCCTTCGTCTAGCATCCGAATGAATGAGGGCTTATGCTCGAAAGCAAATACGCGAATAGGGTGGACATTGTTGAAATAAGCATCAAGCAAGGCATGGAGTTTCTGTCTAGGTGGGAGCTGCTGAGTGTACAACCTGTTTTTTTGTCAGCGCAAAGCTACCCTGATGTATTTTGCTGCATACCACAATAATCCAGGCGGACAGCCTGATGTAATAGGATCGCCACTAGAAAGCGAACCAGGTATGCCGTGAGGTGTTGAGTTCTGACGAGCGTGTGGAGGTATCATCACCGAATCGCCTTGTGCATCCGACATTGGCGTCACAATGCTCTGCACCCACGCCGGCTCATTCTGGTCTCCGTCATAAACACACGTAGTCCTACGCTGCTGGCATCTCGTGCAATTCGGTCGTTCGCCAGAGCATTTTACTTTCGAGTCTCGACAGGGAACGCAAGACCGGAATGTTCGCTTCCGCTTAATGCCGACGACTGGTTCGTATGTCGTGTTTGACCTCTTCGCTGCGGTCGCAACGCCACCATTCTGTACACAGTCCAGCTGAAGCCTCTCGCAGTTCAGACAGCCGTTTGGTCGCTCATCGCATTTAACCTTTCAATTGTCAGCCTTGTTCAGCCCGGTATTGCCCATGTACTGGATATCCCGAGACTGCGTTGCCGGATCTACCATCACATCAGCTGTGTATGGCGGCTTGCGTGATGCGCTTCTCATACCACGGTCACTGGAGTACAACTTGAACGTGACAAATATATCGAGAGCTTACCTTTCTTGCACGGCAAGTGCCACAGGCTGTCCCAATGCTGTTAGTCTCGGCCTGGCGACACAAAGACGCCATTTTACATACCATTAACGGGTCTTCTGCGCTTCTTAGGAACGCTCTCAGACAACACGGGCGTTTCCGGCGACTCCATGGATCGTTCGGTTTGTCGCTCGGACTGTCGCTTCTCTCAAAAGCTGGGGATCGCGAAAGACAACAAGCGGACAAAGGGTCCCGACTTAAGGCAGGAAATGACGTGCTGAAAGGCCCGGATTGGCTCACAAGGGACCTCTTGGCACGAAGTTAGGCGGGGCTATGGGTTGTTCGCGTCTGATTGGCGGCTGCGCTTTCCACGGGCGCTAGCTACATGTGGGAAAGCCGTCCGAACTCCGGTCACAGGTGGATAGGGCATAAAGATGGATGTGCATGTTTAAACTAACTCAACAACTATCTCGCTGCTCCTCTCTTAAGTACCAGGAGGAAATCATGTCATGACCAAGGTGCAGCACAATGAGCCCACAACTGAACCTTAACATCACGCGATGTGGCGCGCAGCTAGCCTCGAACGCGCTCTGCTTACGCTGCATGACCTCAACCAAAACCCTTCAAATATCAAACATGAGATAACCATTCGCACATGGCTGCTTCCAACAGCCGTCTTTCATATTGTTCTGCGCCAAGCATCATCACGGTACACCGGCCATCCTCGGCTCTCATTCTAGCAGTGCCCTAGCCCTCGGAAGCACGTCCGGCGGAGACATGTTCGTGAAAAGTGATATATTGGACCGCTCTTAGATAGCACTTCGCATAGCTCCTCATGTTTGGTGCAAAGATGCAAATTTCTAATCTATCCAGGAGGGACGCCTGATAGCAAGTATAAGCTGTACGCGAAGTTGCTACATTTTCAAAACGCCCAAATGCTAATGCTGAAAGATTGTTCCATTGACTCCAATACGCGATGTGTGTGTCGTTGACATAAATGGTGTAGAGAAAGACATCATCAATGGTGACGATGCACGCAATCCCATTCATACTGTACAGGCATTAGTTGATATCTAAGGGGAGAAGTAAGAAACGGGGTTCGACGTACTACTCGACCATCCTCATCGCCGGTGTAGACATTGTGAGGCATAGGCAATATACACGTGATAGGAGCTGCCTGGGATGGATAGCTGGGGTCGCTGTGGTTGAGCACGTTGATGAGAGTAGCAGACCACTTGTTGGGCGTGGAGAAAGAGGAAGTGATGGTTGATGGTGTTGGAGTGATGTGAAAGATCTGCAATGAGGTGTTAGTATATGTTAAACCTACAGAGCAGTCGAAGGAACTAGATACCTTGACGATTCCTCTCCGGTGGCCGGTGAAGACGAGTTCCCGCTCACACCACTCGTTGCCCACGCCTTCGTAGACGGCCACTGCTGTAATGCTATCCGCATCGTCTTCACTATCGCATATATCTTCGTCTAGTAGTATCGCGCCGTTCAGTGTCGTTACGATGAGCCGGCTTCCACACGCAAGTATGATATTTCCTGTGACGCTGTTGATTTTAGCCGCTTGGACCGGCACAGGGTGTCGCTTTTGACGTGCGCCAAGGTCTATCTCACGAACGAATTCGTCGCGATTGAGATCCCAGAGAAATACTCGCCCATCGAGCGAGGCTGAGAGGAAGGCAGAGAATGCGCGACTAGCAGCAAGCGTGATGACGGGTGACTTGTGACCGAAGAGCGTGGTGACATTTTGGAGGTCGATGTAACCTCGTTCGCCTTTACATACGTTCCAGATCGCAAGCGTGCAGTCGGTTCCTGCAGTGATCAGTGTTCTGCCGTCAACGAATAGCGATGTTGTTAGCTGGCCAGAGTGTAGATGCTCAAACAGCCCGATAAGCTTTTTGGAGTGCGATTCGTAGAAGCGAACGCTACCATCAGTGAACCCCCACTCCATGTACCTGTCGTGATGTGGAGGTATGTTGTGGCGGAACGGCCCTGAGCATAGTAACTTCTCGCTCTTGTTGCTGTAGTTCAAGAACGAGATGCGGTCCTGGGCTTCGAGTAGCGTGCCCGGCACACGATGTAAGCTCTCAGCCGACGTATCTAGCTTCGTGGGCTTGGTAACATTCTCCCGCTGTGGATGTGGTCGTTGGAAGACCTGTGGAGGCGTCTGCCCGAAGTTGTTGATAACACTTATCTTCTGCGCGCGTTCCTTCTCATCCATGATAGAGTCGAGGTCGATCGCTCCCTGGTAGGTCATGTAGTGAAAGACGTTCGCAGCCTCGATGGCTGCTTCACCACGCTGTTTGTAGCCAAAGATGAGATCAATCCAGTGATGGAGATTCTGACTAACGTGGGGACTTTCCAGCGCTTCTCGTTGTTTAGCGATGAAGATGGCTGGATCTCCCTTGGCCCAGGGAGGCAGCTGGACATTGTCAATTGTCGAACCGTCGGACCTCAGCCCAAAGTTGTATCCATTGACGTTAGTCAGGAAGTCAGGAAGGAAATAGAATTCTGGTGTAAGCTCGCGCACATCGGCCATGTTCTTAGCAGACACCGAATCCCATACATTCTGAATTGAATAGAACATGCGATCGGCATGGTCCCAGGTACCACCCTGGATCAGGAAAAATGCTGCACTAAACGGCTGGAGGCGCATGAGATACGATGCCACGGTCATAGCAGATGAGTAGTGAGTACCATAATGGAAGGCATGGCTGGCATCACCCATTTCTGCAAACGAACTGAATCTTTCTCTGATGAGATGCTCTTGTTTAGGATCCTGGATACCGATGGGTTTCTGGAGATCGCGGAAGTTGCTTGGGTCATTCAAATCCAGTTCTTCACTATGGTAGTTTGATATGACCCATGGGAAGACTGGGTATTGGGTGAGGTCGTTGAAAGTCCTTCCTGCAAGCGTGTTGACGAACATCAGATAGTGAAAGTTGGACATCTCTCCTTTTAGCCACTTCTTAGTCGCCGGGTGAGATGATGCAGAACCGAAGGCTGATGCAAAACGTGATCCTAACGTCTGAGGTGCCTCCTCTGGATTCCGCAAGGAGTCCAGGCGCCAAGAAATCTCGGAGTTGGCGGACTTTTCCGGGTTCGCAACATGCGAAGCTCGCTGAAGGACTCGAGAATGAATGTCGTTTCGAGCCTGTGCTGAAATGGCCGTGAGTAGATAGCTGCGTCCGTCATCGAAGAAAATCTCGATACCAACATCCCTGTGAAGGAAGCGCCGTTTCGAGATGCTGATAACTTCGGTCCATTTCCAATCCCTTACCGCATCCTCATGGCTCCTAGGCGGTGGTCGGCGATTGGTGACTGCCTCTTTGCCTGCAATGACCTGTACATACGGGTCGCGCTCATCAGGCGGTGCTTGCCATACACGCACAATCTCGCCGTCAGACCTCTGGAAGAAATCGTCGAGCAAATACAGGCAGTCTTTCCCTACAATCAAAAGACCTTCTATAGCTTCGAGACCTACCACCCGGGAGATGTGCAGACATATTGGACCTGATCGCCACGGTTGAGACTGCGCATGACTTTCCGGTTCTTGTCTTCGAAGCCGTCTTCATCCTCATACATTGCTTCAACCATCTCAAAATCATCCTCACTGCCAGACTCAGCTTCTGCTGCCGGGTCCCCCAATGTGCTTGTCACGGATACCGCTCTCGCTGAAGGTCCAGCGACTGGTGTTATACCAACAGCTTCTTTAGCGGATATCGAAGGCATAGTGGTGTCCAGTTTGGGTCTGTCTTTGGAGTCTGTGTCTTTGCGCTTCGGTTGATAGGTCTGCTCGCGGCTTGTATTGTCAACGATGATGCGCAGACGCTTTCGATCACGACCCTCAGTTTCGTCTAGTCGCCATTGGGCCGGCGGGCTATCTTCAAACAAACCGCACGGGCCCTTCAGCTGGTGATCCAGTTTAGCTAAGACTGTCGCCATGTAAGTCGCATTGTCCTGGTGATCTTGTATGACACGTTGGTGCTTGATCCGCTCCGAAGCATGGATATTGGATCTCCAATGGTTCGTTGAGTTTTCATGATGATTCCAAACGTTTTCAGCAATAAGCTCCTCTGATTGCCATTGCTTCAGCTTCTCTTTCCTCTTTGCGATGCGCCTTTGAGATGTCTCTTCGGTCTTCTTGTTCTGGCTTTGGGCAAAGTCCTCCCACGGCTTTGTCATTGAGCCGTAAAAGAACCTGTCCATCTCCTTCTTGTTGGTGTCTAGCCATTCTAGAAAAGTTTCATTGTCGAGCTCAACAAGCTTCTGGAAACCGTCGTAGAGGTCTTTCGTGTCTCCGTGGATAGCGTCGGCCAAAATCATGGATGTCTCATGTGGTTTTTGCACCATCAGCAGCCGCCAAAAGTTTGCCGCTGCGAGGCGCACAGTTGTGTGATCTGATGTAAGTTGCGTGTACAGGAGATAACAGATCATCTTCAATGAAGATGTCTCATTATTGGCGGACGAGAGGATGATCGGCTGCCAGTAGACCATCTTCTCAATGACTGCTGTAGTGGCCGCTCCACCATCGGTCTCATCGGGTTCCGCCAAACGAAGAAGAGCAACTCTAAGGAAAGTGCTCCGAACCAATTGAATAGCTTGTGTGCATAGCCTAACGGACTTGATCGCTGAAATGTCCGGACGCTCCAGATATTCCAAAAGAAAGCCAGCGAAGTCAAGCAGTGGCTCTGCACCTTCCAGAAACCAACCTTCAAAGACCGCCTCCGATATGTGAGTTACAAAGCGTGAGAGGTTAGTGAGAACCCTCGGTTCATGTAGCAGCTGTTGATCCAGCTGAAGCGCATTCTTTACCGATGAGAGTGTCTGTCGTAGGATGTATGATTCAAAGTACGCCTGATGCTCCTGAAATCCGGGTGGCGTTTTCATAAACAAGCCTAAACCAGGAAAGTCTTTGCGTGTGAATATTTGGTCTTTGAAGACGTCGAGGACGACTTCTAGCATAGCTTCGACCACAGAGCTACCTACTTTGAGCGCTACAGGAGCAGCGTGTTTGGCAGAAAGAATTGGGTTCAATGATGGCTGTTGAGTAACCTTCTTTTTATCCGCTGACACTAGAACGAAAGAAGACGCCCTGCGGAAAGGTAGGACGCGCCTGGAAGAAGGAGCAGGCGGTCCGGTAACGTTGCTTGTTCGAATCACAGGAGTTTCTTGTCCGTTGGTTTGAGAAATCGGTTGTATCACGACATCTTGGCCTTCGAATGTCAACGCAGATCCTCTGGAAAGAAGCTCAGTCTCTGCGCTAACGCTATCGGACGTGACTATAACGGGGTAGAGGACGAAAAGCAATTCTTGGACGTAATTGGAAGAGTTGGTGTAGTCGCGGAAACCCTCCGAGCGAGAGTGCAGTTCGGACAAGAACTGGATAGCAGAGTTCAGGACAACGGCAAAGTTGTTGAGGCGATCCGTCTGGGGCGCTCGTGTATCTAAGATCGTTAACGTATGGGTCCATTTCCGATGAGGTATACATACCAATTATCGGCTGCTTAGCGTTCAATGACATTGTTCTGCGACGACCCCGAGTGACTGTGCCCTCGCTATTCTCCTGCTTCGAAGGGCCACTTTCCGTTCGGCTGAGGTCCCGGTCTCGGACAATTGTCCGCAGGCCTGTTTCTAACATCGCAGTGATTACTGGAAACACTTCCGGGTAGCAGATCCTAAGCTTAGACTGCGGCGAATGTGCAATGAAGACATCAACCAGATTGAAGACATCAAAATCGCGCTCGAAATCTATACTTGCGACATCGCGACCAAAGAGTATGGCAAAGCAGATAGTCCAAATGCCCGGTGTGTTCCACCAATTGCGTAATCGGTTCTTCATGAGGATAAAGCCCCCGGTCTTGTCCGCGAACTTTTTCACGTAATGCATTCCATTTAGCACAAGCAACCGAGCCAGAATTTTTGCACCAAGTACAACGACGCGTTGCTCCGGTTCAGCGAGTAGGTAAAGAAGCCACTTTCCAGTGACATTCTTTGCGAAGCGGACCACTTCTTGTGGGTTTTGGGGGTCGCAAAGCAGCTCTGCCAGAAGATTGAGAATGGCAATACCCAAATCCGGAAGAGACAATGGCTGGGTATCTGCTCCGTTTTGGACTGGGCTATGCGAGCGTGACGTTGTTCCTGATGATTTTCCTGGACTTAGACCAGATGGTCCGCCCTTCCGCAATCGGGCGAAACTCGCTTTTGGTCGAAGCGCTCGTTTGGCATAAGTTGCGCGGCTGTCATGCAGTGCGTAAGTAACAAATAGAGAGAGCGACCTCGCATTCTCTCCGTTGAAATTGATCACCAGTAGGGCTTTGAACGCATCGAGGAACAATTTGAAAGTCTTCGGGGTGAAGTTTTCCCCCTTGAGGGCATCTGTAAGACGCTTGACGACTCCTTGGATTTGTTAGCTGAATCCGAGAGCATCGCGTGTCAATACGTACGGATCCTATGAAAACGCTTGGCGTTATAATGATGGTGCTTACTACCCCTGGCGAATTGGACGAATTGGAGGTAATACAACTTTTGGGTGTCCATCGAGTTGGCTCTACGCCAAATTTCTAGATCTACCAGAAGGACTCTGTACGCAAGAGGATTGATGATGAGAGACTCCGTTGGCTGGCGCTCATCATACCCGACGAAGCGGAGAATTATCCTCAGCAATTGCAAGACAAAAGTTTCACAGTCTTCCTGCGTGACATCAAGCGACGAAGGATTGCGCGCCACCAATCCACCCATGGCATATCCAATCTTTTGGCGTAGGACTTCAGCTAGAACGGCGAAGCCATTGCGCTGCTCCATGGCCTCACAGTTGCGCCAATTGCCTCCGACAGCTTCAAGCAGTATGTTCACAGCACGAAGCATGCTGTCCAAAGTCTGAGCAGATTGCACCAGCTTTAAGCCGACAGCAACACACCCGCCGACCCGCCAGATGGCATCGTCCAGTGATTGAGGAACCACAACGACAGGATCACCAGATAGTCGTCCAAACCCACGTGGCTGGGACAATGCATCATTCACCGAGGGCACCGCGGCATTGATGATGATCGGCGTACTATGCATCCTGGTATACTTATGAAGAGTCTTGGCTGATTCTCGTGACAAGGACCGAATCAACTGAGACTCATCGATAGTGTTTCTATCATCATCGTCCATGACGGAGCTAGGAGAGAAACTCAGGAGTATCTTCGATTCGGGTAGCAGATGGCTTGCACTCGTCCGAATTGCTGTCACAATATCTGATCGCTCTTCTCTCCCGGGATGCAATATTTCGTTGTGAACGTGAAGCTCAGCAGACGTTCGATAGGTTTGGAACGACCCGAGCCTATCCTGAAAATTTCCACAGTAGCGTGGACCAAGTTTATGATACACAGCTATCAGCTCATCTGACAGTGGCTCAGAAAAGAGGTGGAATGAAGCCACTGAGAGCTTCGAAGAAATGACGTTTCTGCCTAGTCGAGGTGCCAGGTTTCGCGGTGTTCCCAGGAACGCGAGTATATGGTGCTTGGACACGCTAGAAGTCATGGAAGTGAAGCTGTCCTGGCTACTATCTAACACCGGGGGATGTGACGGATAGTGGGCTTTCATAGTCTCGGTGAACTCACCATCTACGAAAAGAGATGCCTTGGCAGTCCCCATACCGATAGCCTTTGCTCTACGGTGAACAATAGCGATGTGATACCACCTGTTGGACTCGAAGCGAGGAGCTTTCTTGAATCGCACACTAGGAACAACGCCAGTCGAGTGACCCATATAAGTCTGTAGAATAAAACATCGGGTATCCCTTTCTAGGTATGCCATGAGGAAACACGTCTGTGTGTCGTCATAGGCCCCGAAGAGCGTAGTGTGACAGTCATTGTCAAATTTGTCAACGCGTATCCAGGCAGCAAATGTATAGCCACCCCCTGGGGAGACAGGAGGGAAGGGGCGACCAATGTCTGGAAGCTCGATGGCGCTGAAGCCATGTAAAGATAGATCGAATTGTATAAAGGGCGGGTTGCGGGACGAGCGCATGCCACGGAGGAGGAACTCTGCGGCCTTTTTCGAGGATGCTGCTTTGCGGAAGAGGTAGTACGCATCGTCGAGCTTGTTGATGCCATACTGGACTAGGTCGTCGGCCAACTCTTGCAGCAAGCCGGCTTCTACAGGAGCGCATTGGTCTTCAAAAAGCAAAGGCAAAACAGAGCTCAGGACGCCAGTGACATGGAGCGCAGCCTTGTTGTATGTAGAGATTGTGGTAATCTCGAGCATGGCTAGCAGCACCGAGATGGAGAGAGCCTTGGAGTGGGTGCCCGGGACATCTTCACCAGACAGACCCCGCCAAAAGTGGAAGATGGTTGGGATGATGTCTGGATTCTGCAATATCTCATTGCCGCTAAAGATGGCCCGTACCTGGCCGCGCATAGGCTCAATGTCTATGTCGGTGTCGCTATACACGGAGCGCGGGCTTGAGATGACCAATTCGGCGGTCTGCGAATCGCCGTCGGCTGTTAGTGCAGCCTCGTGCTTTGCTCGTGCTTCGTCGAGCTTCTTCTCAACGTCCCGAAATATGCGTGTCATGGCCTCTTCCCCCAACGCAAAGGCGAACAGAGTGCCAAAAAGCTGTTCCTGCCCCGCATCGTCGCGCTTGCTCTGGGACTGTCCACCAAATATGCCTGTGCTACCCAGGGCTTGTTCCAGCGCACTCCAGCCACCATCCTCGACCCGCTTTGCAAAGAAGCGCCTGTTACCAGCGTGTTCGTTCAGGGCGTCTGATAAGACATCGAGCGTTGCCTTGATCACCTCGAAGAAGTCAATGCGGTCGGGAGTAGACAGCTCAGCCGGCTTGTAGAAACCGGAGAGAGAGCGGAGGGTGACGAGTAGCGTCTCGAAGCCCCGCACATGGCGGAAGGCATCCTTGGTGTGGGTTTGGTCGTTGGACTCTATCAGCAGCTGGCGCATGCGGCGGAGCGCGTTGCTCTGGGTCTGGAGGACATTTGAAGTGGGCGGAGACGTATCGGAGGCTTTGATCAATTCATCTGCGAGGCTGCGGAGCTCGGCTATCTGATTGTTCATAGGCGGAAGTCTCGAGGCGGCCGTGGAGGACCTGTGAGGCCGGGTGGTCGCCATTCAGTCTAGGCCAGTGCGGGAGCTTGGAGGGAATCGTGGGGCAGAAAGCACAACCATGTCTCCTAGAATCCGTGCCCGCACATGAAGGGTGGGTGCGTGAACAAGTGCGTCGTGAATTGGGCGTAACCTGAGGGCTGATCGCTTGATACTGGTGGTGTCTAACTAAACTGGTAGTTGAGCTTGGGCCCCACTTGTGCTGTTAGAGTGGCGTTTGAGCTCCGAGCCACCGTTTCCCAGGATACTGCGAAGCTTGGAAATGCCTCCAGGCCGCGGCACCGCTAATCAGGCTACAGAAGGGGGAAGTGGCACTAGGAATGGTGCGTCCAAGTCCAATATATTAACCCCAGTCCAGACGGAAGTTGTGGCGAGTGTGGTCGGTAGAGGTGTTCACGAGGTAGGCAGCAACATGGATGCATCATGAATGGTTGTGCTCTGGTGAGGAGTGCAGTAAGCGGAGCCGTCTTGCACAGCGGCCTTTGCACCCGCCATGCAGCTTATCTACACACCGTCTGCATGTGTTAAACCGTATTCACCTGCCATATCTCCACGTATCTGACAGCCACGCAACTCTTTTGGCGGGCTCAGGCACAGGGGAGAACAGTCCATCCATCTGATACTCCTAGCGTCTAGACGGGCGCGTGCATTGACTCCGAATTAGGTCTAGCGCTGGCGTATTCCAGGTCCCCAGCCTCACTCCTCCGTGCCCCAAGGTCACCTGCGTCATCCCCGGCGCGGGTCAGTGCACACCTCGGCGTCTGATAAGAGCTATAGCTATCCCGCCCCAGCTGTGTCCTCAACCCTCCTCCACATCACACCTCCCTCCCTCTCTCTATCTCCATCGCTTCTTCATCTCATCACCCGTCTTTCACTACTTTCCCGTCTGTTTGTCTAAGAACTCGCTGTGCGAGCAACCGCCATCATGAGATACAGCCTGATCGCCGCGCAACTGGCATTCGCCGCCGCGTCGCCTACCTTCCAGGTAGAGACGGTCCACAAGGATGCAGCCCCAGTGCTTCATCTACCACGGCCAAGGAGGTGACCGTGGAGGCCCCGGGACTTGTTCAAAGAAGCACGTCAAGGATGCCTCAAAGCACCATGACTGGGTCCAGAGCATCCACACCAAGAACAACGAGGACCGTATGGAGTTGCGAAAGCGCTCTCAGTTCCCCGTCACATCAAATGTCTTTGAGGGTCTGAAGCACACATACGAGCTCGCTGGCATGAAGGGCTACTCTGGTCACTTTGATGACGCGACCATCGAGGCCATCCGAAACCACCCTGATGTAAGTAAGCCCCAAGCAGTTTCCAGCTACACAAATCCCGCACAGTCCCGCATAGTTACGCGCTGGTTCTGGCCACTGCGTGGCGTCGAATGAGTCCGGGGCTGCCTATGGCGATAAAGCCGACCCGGGCCGCGCAATCAAGCGCAATTTCACGTGACACCATCTAGGTACTTGGTACCTGCATAAGACTTGGCGCTAACAGTTTGATAGGTCGACTACATCGAGCGCGACTCCGAGGTCCACACGCTAGGCAGCGACGAGCCTGAGGTTGAGAAGAACTCCCCCTGGGGTCTCGCCCGTATCTCGCACCGCGACTCTTTGAGCTTCGGCACCTGGAACAAGTACCTCTACGCTGCCGACGGCGGTGAGGGTGTTGACGTTTACGTCATCGACACCGGCACAAACACCAAGCACGTCGACTTTGAGGGTCGTGCCAAGTGGGGCAAGACCATCCCCAACGGCGATGCTGATGAGGATGGCAACGGCCACGGCACCCACTGCTCGGGTACTGTCGCTGGTAAGAAGTACGGTGTCGCCAAGAAGGCGCACGTCTACGCCGTCAAGGTGCTCCGCTCCAACGGCTCCGGCACCATGTCCGATGTCGTCAAGGGTGTTGAGTGGGCGGCTAAGTCGCACACTGAGACCATCAAGGCCGCTAAGGACGGCAAGAAGAAGGGTTTCAAGGGTAGCGCTGCCAACATGAGCTTGGGAGGTGGCAAGTCCACCACCCTCGACCTTGCTGTCAACGCCGCTGTTGATGCCGGTATCCACTTTGCCGTTGCCGCCGGTAACGACAACGCAGACTCCTGCAACTACTCCCCAGCTGCGGCTGAGAACGCCGTCACTGTCGGTGCCTCCACCCTTCTTGATGAGCGTGCGTACTTCTCCAACTACGGAAAGTGCAACGACATCTTTGCCCCTGGTCTCAACATCCTGTCCACCTGGATCGGCTCTGAGCACGCCACCAACACCATCTCTGGTACTTCCATGGCCTCTCCTCACATTGCTGGTCTCCTTGCCTACATGCTGTCTCTTCAGCCTGCCAAGGATTCCGCCTACGCTGTCGCCGACATCTCCCCCAAGAAGCTCAAGGCTAACTTGATCTCTGTCGCTACCGTTGGTGCTCTCTCTGATGTTCCCAGCAACACCAAGAACATCCTCGCCTGGAACGGTGGTGGCTCTGCCAACTACACCGAGATTGTCGAGAAGGGTGGCTACACTGTCAAGAAGGCTGCCGAGAAGGATGAGTCTGAGTTCCACGTCTCTCTCCCCTCCCTCACTGAGATCGAGGATGACTTCGCGAAGGCCAAGGAGTCTGCTGGCCGCAAGGCCCACCACGTTGGTGGCAAGCTCCAGCACCTCGAGGCTGAGATTGAGGACTTTATCGCGGAGGAGATGGAGCACATGTTCGAGAAGGTCAAGGAGCGCGTCGCCAGCCAGTAAAGGTTTCGAGCGTAAACGTTTTCATGAACATTTAATATAACCCAAGAGGGTTTGTCACTCAATGTCCCAAGCGGGTCTATAACTTTATTGTAAGGGATCGGTCTGGAACAGGCGTTAGGATCTCATCAGGGTGCATGTTTCTTTATCTCATTTGGCACAAGTTGATGCAATGTACGCTACTCGGTTTACTCGTGATGAAACGCAAAGCGAGCTAGATTAGATGTCTGGAATGAATCTATCTTCCTCTACCAAATTATTCCCTGCAGAAGTTTGTGATACGCGAGGTGCACATTGTATTGATGTTGTCTAGCTAGCGGCTTATTGCATACGCATGCGGTACGTCTATCCAGAAGATTCAATCCGACCCAATCTCCATGCCGGCAGCTTTACCAAACCGAAAGTGATAGCATTATCCTCCACGAATGGCTCCTCCACCTTGGTCAAACCTAATTCCCCGCACTCATCTTCACGACTACATCACTTAACTTAGATGAGAAAATGTCGTATTTTTACATTGTATTACAAGTTGAAGTTGTGGCCTGGAAATCACCCGAAACTATCGCTCGCTCCCACATAACCTGATCCTTCCTCTTCATCTGACGTCGTGGTATAGACATATTTGGTAGCAACAAAGAATTACCTGTCAGCCCAGAAGATGTCGCATGCAGTCTTGAACTTGTCATTTGACAGGTCCTTGAGGCCAGGTACATCGTATCTATCGGCCGCCATGTATATCTTAGCATGGATGAGCAGCTGGGAAGCGTCGTAGCGTGGTGGAAGTTCTCGACGTTCTGCGATGCGCATTTCATTGTAGTGTTCTTCGAAACTGGTAGTTGTAGTACGGAAAGGTATACGTATGGCGTTGTGCTGCTATGGGCTTGTAGCTGCATCAGGGGATGGTTTTGTAGTACATGTAGGGGTGGATACGGCGAATTGTGCTGGTGGTGTCATGACGGGAAGTTCTACCCCATAGTCTCCTTCGTAAATGAATTGGATTATCAACTTGATGATCGCTGGATCGTCTATTAGGAGGTTTACTGCTGGCCAGGTTGCGTTATAGAGATATTTTAGCATCACTAGATATTTTGTAGGTTTTACTAAGAGCTTATCTTACCCCTTCAGCAGCAACGCTCTCAGATTGGGCAAAGAATCCACTGCGGCTGCATACTATTGCCTTGTGGACGGCGCACGTGTCGTCGCCGCATGTGATGGTAAGGTCTGAGTAGTTTCCTGATGCGAGAAGACTGCGTTGGAATTAACAAGGTAGTCACTGATATATTGGGGAAATATTGCTCTTTGGCAGTTGCCATAGTTGCATCTCGTGAGTAAGCGCCATGATCGAAGCTGTCGTCGGAGGTGCAGGCGAGAGTAGAGGATGTCAGTAGAGAACCGGAATATTAATACGCTTGCTGAATACATTAAATCCATTAGTCTACCAATTTAACATGTATTCCGCCCCACATCCATAGTCATCGGAAGGGAGTGATTGGCCTTGCGATCGCAAAGGAATTTGGCTGTAATCGTTCAGAAGCGGTAATTTTGATTGGTTTATTGGGTCGTCAACCGGTGAGCTGTATCATGGAACCAGACTTAGTGGCGCATTTAGAGCGCATCGAAGTGAGAAAGAACATGATCGATGATATTCTGCCGATGAGCACTTCATAGCATAGTATAGAAGTGACGCAGAGCTTTTGCTTCATAAGGCAAGAAACAATTCCAGTTACGACTCAACTCCACCTCGACATCAAATGCCTTCATCTTCTGAGCCGCACTTCCATGAAAACTGCTTTTTAGGGTTCATCTCCCTACCTTTTGACATATCGCGGCCCATAGCTTCTTTGTACTCCAGCATTCTGGCTTAACACCCCTACAACGGACTGTTATTTGCACCACGCAACAGTTCACTTTTCTTCCCGCATCTCAACCAGTCGCTTGGTGACCTGGTAAACGAATTCGATGTGCTTCCCAAGAGCTTCCTCCATGACTTCCATCTTCAGGAGCTTTGTGTGAGCTAGGATCGTTTCGCATAGGATCTTGCGTAGACCTTGATCTTCGTCCGGTGTAGACGAGAGCGCATAACCGCAAGCTGTTGGGAAGAGTTCGTGGTCCCAGTATTTAACGCATAAGCGACTGAACTTTTCGCGCGAAAGCATCTTTAGGCCTGGCACGTCGTACTTGTCGCCGGCTTGGTACATTTTGGCGTGTAGAATCAGGTCATCAGGTGAGCTGTTGTCGGAGACGCCAGTGCATTCTTTGCAGATAAAGCCTCGACAGGCATTGCCACATGTATCGGGGTTGCAGTCGTGGTGATGGCAAACTCCCCATTTCGAAGCTCGGCATCTTCCGAGCTGTTCACAAGTGTGAGGAAACACGTAGTGAAAATCCTTTACAGCCGGCACGATCAATGGGATCCGGCCTGCAATCTCTTTCAGCAACTTAGGTTCGTACTCACCCTCGTAGAGGAACTGGACGAGGAGCTTGATAATGGCAGGATGATCTTCCGGAAGATTGACTCTGTCTTCGGCAGCCTCCTTCAAAGGCAACTTCCGTTAGCGATTCTTCCATGCTTTACAAACGTAAATCGGTTGTTCTGTCTACTTACTTTGCCTGCAGGGAACCTCTCAGCCCTTTGGAAAAACCCAGACTGGGTGCATACAATGGCCTTGTGAACGTTGTAGATATCTACGCCACATGTGATGACGAAGTCGGAATAATCGCCTGTTATGAGTAAGCTGCCGGAACTTGGGTCAGCACCTAGCGCAGCGAAGAAGCCTTGAGTGTAACACTGTATGCTTACCTTTGGACCTTTGCGTTAAGATCTTCGCGTGCGAGCTCCGCCATAACGGTAGTAGAGGGATTGTCGAACGCTTTGGCAAGTGCCACCCCGCAATGTTATCCAGTGTATCCAACAGGCCGTGATATTGTCGAGGCGCTAGTCCCGAATCGGTTAACGCACAGCCATGACAGCTACCTAGGTAGGCAGCTACGTCTAGTCAAAATAAGTCAAGCCCTGGGGGTACACATAATAAGTATACCGCCTCATACATTCCTTTCCTCTCCACGCGGCTCTCAAGATCCTCGCCTAGCATGGAACACAGAGCCTCCACTATCATTTCCGCTTCCAGTGCATCACTTTCCCGCGTTGCGCTGGCATTGTGGGAAGGTCGCCGCCAGGCTGCCAAAGACGTCCGCACTAGATGGCGTGATTGCGGACTCTGGTTTCTGATCGGATTTTGGCTTGCACTTTTGTCCTTCCTCTTTATTGAAATGCTGAGGTGGGGTCAAGTACCGTTCATTGGATCAGATCGCGGGCCCTGTATGCCAGACGGATTTTTCGGGATTGATCCCTCTGAGTTTAGATTCTTCTCTAGCTCAGAATTCTTCCAGATTACATTGGGCTTTGGGAAAATGAACTTCACGCAGGCGAAAGCTATAGACGTCGCCTGGGACGTTGTAAGTCGTAGGACATATCAGTGTGTTTCCTTTGGGACCCGGAATAAAAAGCCGACTTTTATTAAGCTAGTCGGTCGCGGTGGCCAAGCCTTGATTGCGTACATCTCATGACGAACATTCACAAACTATGTCACGACGTCGATGGAAGTCGCTCCCATTACTTTCAAAACCTATCGCACGATATTCCTGCCCGGTGGCTCTCTCCTCGTTGATACCCTACGCATGACTCGCGACTTCTCTTTTCGCCACGGCCTGCATTCCAAGATTGCAATGTGCTTCATGATCTTTACTATGGCCTTCACCCTGGTGTTCCCGACCTTTACTAGCGCAATGACTGGTTACAACGGCAACGTTGAACCATTTGTCAATGCGACGGATAGCAACTACGTACCCTTTGGGTCCTTCTACTATGCATTATATGTCATTCATGATGGGTGGAGAATTGACAGAGAGGGAGAACACATCGTGATTGACTCTTATGGTGGTAAAGGTAAGAAATGGTACCGAAGTTCTCTCAATCTGTTCTAATATAATGTTACCTAGGCTCATTGCCCATAATTCGATCAGAGTATCAGCCTACTTATTGCAACTCCAACTCAAAAAATAGAGGTGAATGTTGGTTGGCTTTGCACTAAGTGCGTAAAGAGAAATAACGATAACTAGGAATGCATTTTGTTCGGTGATTGATCTGATTGATTTGCGAAGGAGAACTATGGAAGAGCTAGATATAGGAGGTCTGGTCTGAGCGCTGCTCGGACGCCGCGATCAGTGGGCCTGTCCGCGTGACTGATATCAGTGCGCCTGCTCGCGTGACCGAGATTAGTGCGGCCGATCGCGTGGCTGAGATATCGTTGATATCTGTGATCCGACAGTGAAGCTCATTGCAAGTTACTATTTAGTGTTGCAGACTGTGAGTGAAACGACTGGTTGAAGACGTCCTTTTGTTAATACATGACTAGATGTGAGACGGTATGGCCTTGACGGCAAAGTTGCAAATCCCTCCGTCTTCATGGGACAAGAGCTCCCACCGCCGGTCGTAAACATTTCGACTTTCTATCTAAACTATCAACTTGCAAAAAAATCCGTGACCCGGAAAATCACGTACTACGAAAAATCCAAAGACGATATGCGATGGGCGTACGGAAACAGCACTTATAAGTGGGAAGACCTGGAACAAAGAGGCAGATGCCAGGCTGTACTAGTGCGCAACAAGTTTCCAAAGAGTTTTGTACATTACTAAATTCAGTAGGACTACCAGTGGGGGTTCTCATTCATTCAGCTATTCATGATGGTCATCATCTTGATTATTTGGACAATAGGAATCCTCGTCATGTGGCGCAGATCGCAGTCTACTGTAAAGAGACGGGCCAGGAAGGAAGTTGCAGGCGAAAACAAAGCCATTCTGGAGCTTTCTTACACGATGCGGAGGCAGTTGAGCGAGCATACCAGAGAAGAGGGCGAGGATGACTCTACCATCACTGAATCCGTTTTGAGCGACCGAATCAAGAAGGACCTACAGGGTGGGTCTATCTCCTATTTGACGCCACTACTTCCCAACGGAGACAGCACAGAAAAGTGGACCTTCCTAAACTAGATCAAAGGTAACAAGTGGTCAATCTCCGCGACATGCTTTTTTGTCGTACTGGCCGTTGCGAATGAGGTTTGGATGCCGTCCTTTGGCTTTTACCTCTTAACTTCGCCACTAGGTTGCTCTATCAGTGTCTACATGGGATCAATACGTAAAAGCCGGGGTATCTTCTTCTTCTGGTCGTTCATCGCCTTTGGCATCGTACCTCTCATCATATCAGTAAGTGAGCATGTGACAATGGAATCATTAGTTGAAACTAACAGTTTAGGTGCTTCTGTATCACTGGTCAGGGTAGGAAAGACACACATGCACAAAGTCTTCTAGGGGCACTCTAGCCTCTCAACATGTAGGAGCTAGCCGAGAGATAAAATAGTCATAGGATATCACAGTAGACTTAAACCCCTTACGTTCCAAGTATGGAAGACATCAGATAGGGCTATGGAAAACAACTTCAAATTACTTCTATGCACTAGGGAGGATTATTTTCTTCGCTTCAGCTGTGAAAATTCACGTGTGCACGCGTAGAAGTTTGTATGACGCAACAATTAACTGAGTCGACAGAAGGATCCGGAAATATCGCCCCAAAACAATACCAAATTATTACAAAGACAGACTTCTAGGTAGGAATGTTATAACCTCGTCTATATCGTTGCGGCGTTGCAATAACCGGAAGATATACCAGACTCGTCGTTGTGGAAAATACGGCGACAGCAATCCTGATCCCAATCCTGTGGGCTGAAAAAATCTTCGAAATGGCAGTAATTTTTGGTTCTGCCCCAAAAGTCCACAGTCCCGCGCATTAAGCCTACGGCTGGTTAGTCCTTACAGCAGTCGAGAATCTTTCTTTCTTACCTTTTTTAACCTTGCAGCATGTCTCGGTGCGCTCGTGGATTTCGGTGGAACGACCATTAGGAGCTTGTGACTGTGGTTTCTTAACTTCATGCCACGCGACTCTTTGCTTTTGGCTTAATCTTACCATGCAGATACAGCCTGTACCCGGTATGACCGCCGCAGTGTACTCTTCTTTCGCGAGAGAGCCTTCTCCCAGCAGCAATACTAGGAGTGGCGCGAGTAGCGAAAATCGCATAATGGCGAGAAGAAGCGAGATTCTCAACTGTGAGAAGAAGCGTTCGCTAGCAGAGGGTCTGCGATCGTGCGGGGTTGTGTTTTGACTTGTTGCTGAAATTTCTGGTATTGTTCGATGAAGGGATTGAAATGATTGGAGAAAATCAGCAACAGAGAGGCCACTTTATTATAGAATATTACACTCAAGATGAGGGTCTCCGCATAGATTGAATCCTTCGTTAAGCACTGATGAGAGTGCATCGTAATCACGGTGTACCTAGGCAGTTCCGGTATATCCTCGGGATCTACATCCTGACGGCGCATAAGAAAGATTAAGATGGGGGCACTAGTAAGGCAAGTGAGGCAAGTGAGAAAACGCTAGGCAGAGCTCTGATTAAAATCATGCAATCGATGGTTCTAAAGTTTTGGAAGTTTGTACCGCGCCACAATTAACTGAGTTAAGACGAGTATCTAGAATCATTCCTTAAGAATAATACTAAACTATTAAAAAGCTCGACTGCAGGTTCGAAAGCTCACATGCCGTTGTTGGGCTTGTCTGATCTGGTAGCGGCGTTGCAATAGCCACGGGAATCTGGGGTATTCCCAAGCTTATTGCAGCAGTTATCCCATTCATGTGGGCTTATAGAACGTCCGAAATAGCAGTAGACGTCGCCTCGGCCATAGAAAGAACCCGTATCTGCTGGCCATCTAGTTCCTGGGGTGGGTTAGTTTCCATCCTATAACAGTCATAAAAGTCTGTTTTATCTGATTGTTCACCGCAGCATGCAAGGGTGAAACCCTTGTTTTGTTTATAGTTCCTGCCCGATCCTTGCTGCGCTTTGTTAGTTTTGTGTCACTCGACTCTCGGCTTTTCGATTGAATCTTACCATGCAGACACAGCCCATGCCAATACCAAGCACAAGAGAGCTTTCCCCAGCAGGGATACGAGAACTGAGACGGGTAGTGGGAATTGCATAGTGTGAAAGAGTAGTAAAGTTCAATTTTGAGAAAAAGTGTTTGCTGACAAAGTCCCTGGTTGTCGGATCGTGAGTATCGGTAGAGACGTCGGCTGCTGGACACTTCGGCCCGACTTCGGCCCACCTTGCGCAGAGCTTAGGTATACCTTCGTAGCAGCTATGTTCGTAGACAATCAATCAAGAACAACCACCGAACAGAATGCATTCCTAGTTATCGTTATTTCCCTTTCCGCACTTAGTGCAAAGCCAACCAACACTGGTATTATTTGCTGAAAAGACTGAAGAGATGCGCTAAGTTCATAGGCAGTGGGAATGCGACTTTATCACATTCTGATACGTAAGAGCATTTAATTCCATTGGTGATAGGAGTGCATCAATTACGGTACACTTGCAGCTTATCGGCGCATACAAATTCGAAAAGTTGTGCAACTGATCAGGCTCTTCTTCCAGCTAGCTCTTTACTTGAACAAGCATAGTCGAGCTATAGGCTTAGTAGCTACTCGAGAAGTAAGCACCGAGCCGGAAATCTTGATATGCACTCCACTTGCGAGGGTTTTTCTGTTAACGTTTTTCAAATTAACTGCTCGATTCTTCCGCTCAGGGCTAGGCTTGTTTTGGTCATGGTTCTGCTCTCCAAGTACATCTCAAAGTCAAGCGCGAAAATCTTCTATGTAGAGCCGCAGTCGCAAATACAACTGAAGTGTGCTACAGTCTGGCCCGCCTAGGGGTCAATGCGGTCCCGTAAGCTGACTATACTGGTCGGAACAATCTCCGGTATCATACCTGCACTTCGTGTACGGATTGATAGACTGGTTCCTTTGTCAACAAAGATACACCCCTTCAAATACATAATTCCCCTCACCAGATAATCCGAAAGAGAGAAACGAAAGAAAAACATCCATGTGATCTCGGGCGATAATGATAACATCTGACGAAGCACTCTCATTCAAGTCTGCTCAAGAAGTGCGTGCATAAAAATAAGCATTTGTCCAAGTGTACCTTCTACTCAGCCCTAAGTTCTCACTATCATCAAAGTTCCCAGGGTCTCCCTCTCCCCCGTCGCCTACCCCACACCGCCCCGATCCTTCCATCCACCCTTCTCTTCCACTCCCTCACACTGCGTGTCATTTTATCATAAATTTTTGTATCTTCCCAACAACCACTCCAAATGCTCCCTGTTCATCAGCTCCAACTTCCCGTCAATAGCAGCCTCCCACGGCAACCCTGTATATGCATAAGTCTGCTCGGCAATCTCATTGTCAGTGAGCAGGCTATAGTACTTGTGGTAGAGTTGTAGATCTAAATTGATAAGGCCGGTGATGCGCTGTTGGAGGCTGGCTAGTCCATAGATCAGTACGCAGCGGTGCAGTGTGGGAAGTGTGGAGGGGGAACGGTAGGTAGACATGGATGCGAAAAGCCACTCTTGCATTGTTTGACGTTGGGAGTAAAAGGTAGACACGTCTAGTTGTTCTGGCTCTTTGAGCTCATACTGTAGTGTTGGGGTCCTTGGTGGCCACTGACGGCGCGTGGGGACTCGGCGCATGATGAGCGAAGCGGATCAAGTAGTTGGTCATTGAAACTTGTGAGTGACTCCGTTATTTATATTTTCGAAAGTAGACAGCGTTTGAGACATGGCTGCGATTTACAGGGAGATCGTGGAAGTGTGTCGAGACATTCCAACTAGATGGACTGCTGTCTCATCGAGTCATCGTAGCACTACCTAGTAAGATGCTAAGAGTTATATGGACCTTTTGTAAGTGAATTCCTCATTCTAGGTACTGCAAAGCCAGTCGATATGTCGCATGATATTGTTTCAGACTGTTGGGTGTCAGACTTTTCCCTCTACTTAACCTTGGAACCCACCGACGTGCCCAACATCAGTGGTCCTACCATACGACTCACCCTGCACTCCCAGTCCCATGATAGCAAAGCCTTACTCCTCAATATCCTCGCTTGAATTCATTCTCATATTCTTTCAGAAGAGCATGATTGTACGATCCCACAAACGACCACACAGGAGGCCCAAACCCTCTAGTCACTGTCATCCTAAAGTTATCCAACATTGGTAATCTACTCACCAACCCGCCGCTCCCGTCTCTTGGCCACAAAATCATCTCCAGTATATTTCTCCGTTGCAGCAGACCTGGGATATCTTCTTCATGCTCATGATGCAGACTTTCCGGACCACGCAGCAGCAAGCGCAACACCCTATGCATCTGAAAGCATTCATGCGCAACGCTCCAACTTTCAGTTATCTCTCTCAAACTATAAATATCCATCCGCAGAATAAGCGTTGATGTCCTGTTGTTCCGGCAGAATTCGTACAAGCAAGGATGCAGAGTTCCGGTCAGGGTTTGCCCGATTTGCTGCCATCTTCGAATGTTTGACATGAGAATGGCACCTGGGTCCGGAAGCGCCTCGACAACGATAACTTTACGCATGCGCTTTTGGTGGGACGAGGAGACGAGAGAGAGGAAGGTATTGCATGTCGCTAGTGCTGTGGCTGTGCCATCGTGCCAGATCACGATGTCGTTGTAGTGTAGACTTAGGGCGCGCGTTTCATGGTATAGTTGGCGGCAGACATATCTTAGCTGGTTGGCTTCTGATTGGAAGGTTTGGATGTGGTTGCTAGTTTGGTCTTCAATGCTTTGGTACCGGAGGTAGAGCTTTGGGACTGGAGTCAGATTGGGCTGCGCGGGTACGCTGAAACAAGAGGCGAGGAGAGCATGTGGATGTGATAGTACATAGTAGTAGATGGTATTTCTTAATTCCGCCGAGAGTGCGAGAAGGCCTGTGGGATTCTCCAGTTGAGTCCCTGCGAGTCCGGGTATCGTAGACGCCGGCATGGTAGGAAATGCGTTTTCTGACAAATCTCTTCGAAAATCAAATTGACAAGCGCTGAGATTCAAGAGATTCAAGAATTCCTGTGCATCTATACTTACAATACAATCTAGGGCGCAAGTAGACCCACATTACGATCCATGGTTCTACACGAAATTGCAGGCATACAAACTCGTGATCCATGGTTCGGATATACACCAATACTACATACAATCACAACCTCCTTTCAATTTTCCTCTTTTGTTTCCATTTATCCAGTAGCTGACTTACGCATATCCACCAGTTCAACGAAAATCTTCCTTAATCCTGATAGAAATCATGTCTATCTTAGGATTCTTCAAAAACCTACTGACTAAATTTTTTGAACTCTTTTTACCTAAACATACTAGAGAAGAGCTCTATGCTTGTGAAGATATGGGTGGAGAACTAAAGACTGTAAGTAGAAGCATTCTTTTACCTGAGCGTTAGTTCGTGAAGTTCAACGTACATCTCTCCTTCCAAGTCCGACCGTCAGACCACTTCGCTCTACATCACAGCATACCACATCACATGGACGTTTCATCAAAAGCCGACACCATCACATACTCTCCCCTTCCCATCGCATTTTTCTGTCACATTCCCACATCACATATTTTCTGGATATAAATTTCACACCACTTCTTCGTTAAGCCCTACAGAAAACCTAACACCATCGCCCTAGACGTCGAGAAAATACACATTATCGCTACCATCTCGCCGCAGGCTCCGTCTCCAAGTTGACTTGTACGACGAATACGACTGCTATCCAAACGACTCCGACCTTGAATACCGCTACAACTGTCACCCTTACGACGCGTAAACTTCAACAATACCATACACCATGCCCTACAAGAGGGAGGATAAATACGACGTCTCCCCCTGTTGGCAGTGACGGAGAGGCAAAAGGCGATTACGACGCAGGACGCCACGAAGAGTTCCGAAGAAACCTATCACAAACTAAAGATACGACGCCCACTCACTCTCAACCCCAACCTCATTATCCGCAAAGTTCAAGTCCAAGTTACCATCCCCCTCCTGCGCAACTCCAGACCGCCCCCTACCAATCTAAACCTCGTTATTACGCGAGCTCAAGTTCCAGACCCCTTTCTGTCATCCCTCAGGCTGCTCCTACTGGAAACCTTACCCGGTCGTCATTGAGCCATCGGGCCCGCGAGACGTCGCAAACTTTACTCGATAAGTCAGCAGCAGCAAAAGCCCCAGTTTCCACTTCATCCTCTATCAAACTATCCGCCACAGTCAATCGTACACCGAGCACTTCAGTGTATCACGAACCGACTATCACACCTAGGTTTCATGTACCCGAACCATCCAGGCCACTCCGGCGCACACCCGCTCAACGAGAACGCTCGAGTAGTTCAAAATATACCAATGTACCCAAACTTTCCAAGGCCTCCTCTTTCTCGCCCAGCACACCACCATCACTATCTCTCGAAAAAGGTAGAACTCCCGCTTCTAGTACAACAAACCCACACAAAGCCCCCCGATTTCGCTACTTTTGTGAGAGGCGCAGCACCGATACCATCGTCACCACCTCCACCACCAGCCCACGCAGACTCTCTCCCAAAAGGCAAAGGGAAAGCTCTCACTTCCACCACGCCCACACTCCCCAAAGCCCCTTCTTTCGCTTCCTTTATGCGAACCGCACCACCACCACCAGCTTCTCTGTCTCACTCCTTACAAACACGCAGCATCTCCGGTCCATCTTCTACCTCCCCTCTCGCTGCCGCACTACTACGTCCCCCTTCGCATACCAGATCAACCCCATCACCTAAACCAAGCGCTTTACCACATCTCCCTCCACCTCCCCATCCCAGATTAACCCCTTCTCCTTCTCCTTCTGCTAGACCAACTACATCACCGCCACTAGCCGCACCCCCTCCTTCACTCCAGGTACGCAGAGGATCTGGTCCAACTTCTACGAGTAATCTGGGGCCGATGCCACATCCTGCGTCTGCGCCACGTAGAGCGCCGACGGATAAGAGGGTGAGGCAGGATTATTTGCTGGGGGGATTGAAGATAGGTGGGCGTGGTGGTGGTGCGGGAAGGGGTGCGGGACGAGGTGCGGGTTGAGGGGGATGGACAGGGTGGTAAGAGAGCTGGTAGTGCTGGTGGTGCTGGGGGGAGGGGGGGAATTATGGGTGGGATAGAAGATAGCTACTAAAGTGGAAGATAAGATAGACACAACAAACCGAGTATGGGTACAACCTTAGTCACTTAATCAACACACACACATTACCACAGATAAAGTCACTATTCCATTCCATTCACCCATCTCGCTAAAAACGCTACATACCAGGCAAAAGTCTCTGAACAAAAAAAAGGCAAACGCCATGTAGATGATGTGACCCCCAACCCCCTTTCTCCATCCATTCCTTCACTCCCATCAATCCTCCAACACCCACCCATCAACCCCATGCATCCGCCACCCACCATCTTCCAAAGCGCCAGTCTCCAGATACCGAATACTAAAAAGAACGACAGAAAAAAAAAGTCTATAAAAGCCAACATACACATGGGGTGAAAGAGAAATGAACAAAAGGCCGTACACGCATGATCTTTGCAAGTGATTTTGAGCTTAGACATGCATACGCACACGCACCACATCGCACTGCTCATTCTACTCCTGCCATAAACTTAAAGGTGATAATTTCTGTTACTGGTAAAAAGGGGATGTACTACACCAGATCCACATTGAACTTCCAGTTACCTATTAGTCAAGTCAGCATTTCAGATCTTCCAAAAACGTGTTTAGGGAAATATCAAACCACAACAACCGCAATTCGAGTGAAAGGAAAAAGAGTCGGAAAACCACTACCACGTACCTCGCTTCAAATTTTCCGCAGTGTCGTTGAGGAGAATAATTCTCCTCTTTGTGCAGTATGATGTCTTGTCGAGGATGTCCACTTTCAGGTCCTTCAGCTGATCGATAGGCTTCTCGAACATTTCACTAAGATTCTCCACCGCCATCTCGAGATCCTTTTGGTTGTCCTCAAAGATCTCGGTGAGGTTGTTGCGGGCGAGGTAGTATGCAAATGCGTAGGTCCACTTAAGTACCTGTCGACATTGTTGGAGGGCATGTGAGGCCTGGTCCAGAAATTGTACTTCGATCCACGACATGCCCGAGGAATTTTGTAGCTGCTGCATCTTCTTTTCCGTCTTCAGGTATAGGTCCTTGTCTAACTTGGCCGATTGTTCGTGGTTTGCGAAGCGGTTGTAGTAATGAAGATATCGTTCGAGCGACTGCCGTGACTTGGCCTGTGCATCGCGCGCCTCGGATCCACTCTTCTCCTCAAATCGGTTGCAGTTGTACCAGCTCGTGCCGTGTTCCGACCACTTGCCCATACACATCCAGCAGAACTCGTTACGGCACTTCCTGCATGTCATGTGGTTGCAGCCTCCGTTCTTCTCGATGGTGGAGTTGCAGTTCGGGCATTCCTTAGTGTTGGCCGATATCCAGTTGGCGGTCTCCGAGTCATCCTCGCATTTCTTGACCCACTTCTTGACTAGAGAACATGGCGCCGGCTGGTGGTTGTTCAATGTGCATCCAAAACAAAAGTCGTGACCACACTCGCAGTGTACCGTGGGTACAATTCTTGAGAGATCCTTGCTCTTCACTCCACATTCTACGGCGTATTTACAATCGGGTGCCGGGCACCATTTGAGGTTTTCTTTGTCGTCGACGTAGGTCCGGGTGAGGAGGGTATGATATCTACTCATGTTAGTGGCTAAAAAGGTATGGATCATGTCGGTTACGCACCTATCGTGTAGCTCTTCCGTAACAAGCAGGTCTAGCGATTTGGAGTCTACTATGCGTGTGCAGCCTTCTCCAGGACAACGTATCCTGGCCGCTTCTCCTTCGTCCTGAATCTTGGTGCCGAGATACTGTCTGTAGCAATCCAGGCAGAAGCGGTGCCCGCACTTCATGGCAAAGGTCTGCATGTTGATGTCGTCGTCGCAGCATATGTCGCAGACAAAGCCGGGGACCTTTTCGAGTTTTGGTGGGTTGGTTGTAGAGTCCTGACCTAGTCCAGCTGTCTCCAAGACCTGTTCCATCCGCTCCATGTATTGATCGATCAAACGTTCCTTATTCCATCGCGAGTGGCGAAGAAGTATTGCGGCGGCTTCGGGCGGTTGGCCGAGGATGCTCGACACCTCGTCGATTTGCTTGTCCTGTTGTGACTGAATTTGTGCGGGGTCGAAGACTTTGAATTCCACCTCGTAGGCCTGCTTGACAGGCTTGATGTCCTTGTCCTGTGTTTCGAAGCCCACATCGTCTTGGTCCATGTCAAAGTCGGAGTCTAGGTGATGTCAATACAGCACAACAGTGAATAGGACAGCATACGTACCCTCTTCCAGACCCATATCGCTGTCCTGGTCGTCAAATTCATCGCCGCTCATGGAGCTGTTGAACTCGTCGTCGGAATCCATCTTGTCGGCGGTCTTGGTGGCGGGGGTGTCGGGGAGTTTGTTCGCAGAAGGCAGCGGCAACTTCTTCTTCAGCGGTGGCTCTTCTGCAGGACTGAGGTAGTTGTCTGCCTCGTCTGCCTTCCGCTTGTGAGCGGTAGTAGAAGGCGTCGTGGTGGAGGTCAAGTTCCGCCTGATGACGGAACGCGGAGGCTAGGTTAGGCGGCGAAAGGCTGGCGGGTGTAGAGAAGGCTGATAAGGGCTAAAGCGCGCGTTTACAGCGGAGGTACAGGTGGGCAGGGAATGAAGGGTATTGGCTAGTGGTGCAGTGCAGGAAAGAGGAGTCACAAGTTGGTCGTGGTCGAACGCTGTCGGCGCACCTCGATGCGGGACCTCATGCGCCCGGCCCTAGCTCAGGGATTAGGCTGACGTAAATGCCCAAACCATCCGGTCCCCACTGACCTGACTTCACCAGCTGTGTGAATGATCGGTACATATTTTCGAAACGAACCGCGCGAACATGGATGCGCAACCACTCGCCTCCAATACGCAATCATCGTCTGCATGCGAGAGGCAACTGCGGCGTGTCAAACCTCGTAGCGCTTCAACGAAACACGTCTGATCCGAAGGCAACTTGCGGAGTAGAATCGGCCAAAGCAAACCGCCTTCCTATCACGACTATCATATCCACTGTATTCTTGAACCATAGATTGTAGCACGGATATAATGCATTTCATCACTACTGAAACCCGCTAATCATCTTCCTCTTCACTCTCTTCCTCGCTTTCGTCCTCACTCTCCTGCTGCAAAAAGTCAATCAGCGACTTGGTCTTCTCCCTCACCTTCTCCATCTCCGCGTTCTCCGTACTCTTTTCATCATCCCACCACTGAATCATGCCATCCTCCTCGATAGAGTCCAACTCCACAAGCTTGGTCGCTGCGCTCAGTAAAATGGCATCGCCATTGTCCTTGTGACTCAGATCTGCTTGCAGCAATAGCATAAAGTCAACCTGGTCGACCTTGCTATCATCATTCTTGTCAAAGATGGACCGATCGATGAGTTCCTTGTGCTGGCCAAACACCTGCGCAACAGCGCTCTTGATAGGCTCCCCGGACTTTGTCAGCTGTGTGACGCGCTTGACAAAGGAAGAAACAACCGCACGCCGGACCTGATGGTCAGAGGCGTTGGTACTCATGCGGAGCGCTGTGAGTTCTAGCTGAATGTTTGCCGATTCGTGGCCTTCGACTAGCGAATCGTAGATACTGGTCGACGCGTCGTGATCAAAGTTTGCCGCGTGCTGACTGTCTGCGGAGCCAACGGAGAGGAAACTGCTCGCTGCTGATCTGTCATGTCGTTCTATATCGAACTCATCCGCTTCCGACTCCGAATTGAGGGTAGAAATTGACTCGTTTGAAAAGTTGTACACTGTGTTCGTTAGCATGGGTATGATGTGAGATGGGATTTGACTTACGAGGCGCTCCGGTGACAAGGCCGTCAACGAGCTCGTCTTCATCCTCCTCGTCCGAGTCGTGGAATTCAAAGCCGTCGCCCTTGGGACCAACTATGGCAGGATTCGAGTCGCCCCTAACGACTTCTTCACCTTGCTCCCGTCTCCGCTTTGCTCTTGTGATCCTATGATCGCCTTGTATCGTCATCCCTTCGCCGATGCTGACACCGTACGATATCAGCGCACCAGCTTCGATTGTGCACTTTCGTCCGATGGCTGCTTCGTTTGCGATGACGGATTTGCTCACAGTGCTACCATCGCCTATACTGGCATAATCCCAGATGTATGCCCCGTCAATCTTGACGTTGCGACCAATCTGGCAATGCCTTCCGATGATGCTGTTTGTTACGACACTCTTCTCGCCAATGCTGGTCCCTCGCCCGATGACTGCTTTGGGCCCGATGATACAGTCGCGCGCAAGAATGACACCCTCCTCTTTGTACGTATTGCCCTTTTGCAGCCGGTACGACTGTCCCTGGACCAGGTTACTGTCCGGGCACAATGGATATGCCCATCGCGAGATGATGTCCTTGCTGACGGCGTCGTATGCGTGGAGATTCCGTACTCTTGCCGCGTAGTGGTCCGCAATGATGTGTGTGTGGAAAGTCTTGCCATTTAGTTCGTAGTCCTTCAGCACGCTGTGTAGGAAGCCTTTTCGGGGCGCCTGGAAATCGAAGTTGTCGCTCCATAACGCTAGTACGTCGGGTGTGCAAATGTCGATGCCGCAGTCGATAAGGTCCTGGCGCACCTCGAGCTCTTGGTGGGTCGACAGCAACTCGGGATCGATGGAGAGGTAGTGCGTCTGGTCGCGGTTCGGCATCTGTTCAAAGTGTAGACATCTGTCTTTTTGTGGGTCGATTACAAAGACTGGGCTTGTACCCTGAGCCTTGGTCCTGTGGTTCGCGCCTGCCTCACGCAGCACCATGGTCATGATGGCATTCTTGTCCTTCACCCTCCGCGCCCTATGCGCTGCAAGTGCAGACTCTAACGGCAAGTTACTGACCACATCGCCATAGACCAGTAGGAAGTCGCCAACTAGCAGGCCCCTGCTGTCTAGATCACGCATCGCATCGCCAATGGAGTGTGAGGTCGACTGGATGAGCTCCAACCTCGAAAACGGCGACGACTTGGCTGACCATCTAGACTTCTTTATATATTCCTCAACCTGCTCCCTGTGTGCGCCGCAGTAGACAAAGACCTCTTCGACACCGGCGTTGGCGAGAAATTCGAACGTGTACTCGATGAGCGGGGTATTCGCGAGGGGCAGAAGACACTAGCAGGTGTCAGCATGCAACCGGCGTATGTATTGGGTATGCGTACTCTCGGTCGCTCGAGCGTGAAGGGACTGAAGCGTGTCTCAAAGGGATCCGCGAGTATCTGACGAATTTAGCAAACTTCGCGGCGAGGCGCATGGCGGAGCTTACCACAGCCTGCAGCGGCTCGTCGCGCTCCTCCTCGCCCGACTTGCCCTTTTGCTGGCCTTTTGTGGCTTTGGGAGGCATGGTGGGCGTGTTGAGATTTGTTAGTGTGTTGCAAGAGGCGGCGTGGCGGTCGTGCTCGGCTGGTGGGTGGGTTCCGCAGTGTATTCCGAAAAGCTTCAATCTACCCACCACCACCGCTGAGTCACAAGCGGCACCAAACCAGGGACCACCACACAAAACCAGCACCCCGGGTCCCGTCACGTCTCGGATCTGTTTAGCGGGGTGGCTCTGCGGGTAAGCCGCTGCATGAGTCTCAAAAGTCTCGAACGTGCTCGTGCGCGGCTTTCTGGCCTGGCCGTAAAGGTCTGGACCGCGAGAACACCATCGTCTGGAAAATGCTTATTGCGACGACACTCCTAGCCGAAAGGGGCTGGTTCCGGCGTCACCGAAGAAAGAATACGATCCATCTTACACGACTGCCGTACAGAGTTTGTGGCTGCAGCAAATGCGAATCCGCTACGAAGCCATTTGGAATCATCCAATGCCGGGCCGCACCATACCAATACGAGAGGGTAACAGAAGCAGGACGGACAACAGAACATATTTATTTGTCTAGCAGATAGGGTATTTCCTAGCAGATAGCCAGCCCGAGACCAAACGCATGGAGTGCCTTGAACGCCAAGAACCCGCTCGCAAAGTCCTCCATGCACTCCCTGGACAGCCAATTTTGGGCCATCGTATACCTGTACTTTTTTCTATAGCGTACATGGGCCGGCCACGACAATGGGGGGTTTGCGCTGTGTGATCCATGGCCAGCATCTGACAGCTGCCACGACTGGTCCCCAAGGCTGTACTCGACGTCTTTTGGCCTGAGCCGACCGTCATTCTTCAACGTCCTCGTCCTTGATTCCATTTTCCCCCGACGAGTAGTCTAGTCCTTTACATATCAACGTGGACGAGGCTGCATGGAACCCATCGGCTGTTGCATCTGGGGAGGGTACATTTGTTGGCGCTTGGCCGGGTTGTTGAGATCATCACCTCCCGAAATCTCCGAGACCTGCCGACGATGAGCCGGGGGTAGCTGCGCTTGCTGCGGCATCTGCATATGTGGCGAACTACTGTACCCCATGTTACTTTGCAAAGCGCTAACACCATAAGCACTTGGGTGCTGCACTGGTTGCCCTCGCATAGCCTGCGCAAAGTCATCCGGGACCGTTGTACCAACAGGAGAGACGCCTGGCATCTGGTTAGGCGAGTTCCAGTTGCTAACAGCTTGTGGTGATTTTGCTGGGGAATCCTCTTCCTTCAGAAAGGGCTGTCGTGCTATCTGTACAGGCTGTGGTGCTACCATGGTGCCATCGCCTTGGGCCGACGGCTTCTTGAGGTGGACAAGGTGCTTCTCCAGCATGTGCAAGAGACCTTCCTTGGTGAATGGCTTGGGAAGAACATCGTTCATGCCTGGAATTGTTAGTGTATGATTAGAATCAGGATCAGCCTGCCTTACCGTGTTGGAAGTACATGGAGATGTCGTCACTTCGAATGTTCGAAGTCATGGCGACAATCGGTGTTGTATCGAATTGTCGGATCAAATGGCATGCCGAAACACCATCAAGGTTCGGCATGATGATATCCATCAGAACCAAGTCGTACTTTGAACCGTTGTTCATCTTGTTGACTGCCTCTAGACCATCGAGCTGGTTTCAATTAGTGGGTGCTTCTCAACACATGACTACACAACTTACCGCACTATCAATCGAGCAGTGGAAGGCATACAAGAACTTGCTTCCGATACGACGGCACGTAGGGTCGTCTTCGACAAGCAAGATCTGTGGGGGGCGAATCCAGCCTGGGTCGGGAATCGTGCTCTTCTTCCTCCCTTCTTGGAATTTTGGCTCGGCTGGGTCTACGGCTTTTGGTGGAGCTGCGTATGGAATGTTGTTAATGTGCTCACTATACATAGGGTCAATGCCATTTGACGAACCAACCGGATACACAAGGTTATCGAGATTTTCTAAACGCATCGATCCTGTTGAAGTTGCTGATGGCGGGCCACGACTTGTAGGTCGTACCGCCGCACGAGCCGCAAAATCCGGGGGTGGTGTTGTCAATGTGCCGTTCATCCTCATGGTGATCTCGTTCATATGCTCCAAGTTGCGAGGGTTCAGCATGGCGTCGGCGTTTGTCTCACTAAGGAGCTTGGAAGCATGCTGCAAGGGCGAGGCTGGGTTGTCATCATCGGTCGCCTGGGTGGTCTCAATGCCTCCGTTCTGGGATTCAGAAGTGGCGTTTCCGAAGATGAGTTTGCTGTTCCTTCTCTGGGTCGCGTCAACCCCGTGCAAAAACGTCATTATTTGTTGCATGACATGCTCGTGATTGACCACGGTCTTTTGCAACCCAATTACTTCCTGCAAGAGCATGGAGTGATGGATACTCAGTTCATTGTAGCGACCCTCGAGCTGATGTAATTGGGCTTGGGTTGCCATGAGCTGTCCGCTAACCATATCCATCTGTTGAGACGGCGCGAACTCTTCATTGGACGCCTGGTTCGGTTTTCGAGGCGCTGGCGCCTTTCGTCGGATATTATCGAGCGCATCCTTGTTGTTCATTTTAAAATCGGGGTGTTTAAATTCCCAGGCCTGCGGAGTGGTCAGTCAAACAGCTAGGAATGTGCGCGTGCGAGACTACATGGCACTGGATATGAACATACCCCGGGTCCATAAGGCGACTGGCCATTCTCTTCGTTGTTGTGACGGACTTTGTGGAAATCGTATTTATTGAGTTGGCGGACAAAGCTAGCAAAATTGCTGTGTTTGAAGTGCTTGGGAAGTATATGTTTTGTGAATTTTTCGTTCTGGTTGAGTGTTAACAGGACGAAGTTGATGGGCATAGGGCCGAAAGGCGCATACTTCTAGGACGACGAAGCTGTCGCCATCATTCCCCCACCGGACCACACTCTCGTCGCTCGGGTTCTCCAACATCCTAGATGGCCATCAGCACAACGACGACGGCGCTTGGTCAGGCGCGTCGACGTACTTGTAAAGCTTGCGCACAAAGTCGCTCGAGTTGTTGGACCCGCCTCCGCCAGCTTGGTTGGGGTCCATGATGGCGGTTGAATAGCGATTGCTGTCTGGCGTGGAAGCCCTCCCTCTCTCTCAGTCCTCGAGATGCGCGACAGCTACCGAAAGCTCGCGTCAGGGCGAAATCCCACAGGTCTCGCAAAAAGTCCCGTCACAGGCTCCAGGGAATCGCAAGTGGCCGCAATGGCGACAGCGACGGATGGCGCGCAGAGATCCGTAGCCGTGTTGGATGCGCTTAGAGTTTTGCCTGGCCAAGCGATCGGTCCTGGATGGGCGATGACGAAATATGCCAAAACGGGGACGCCTTCTTCGAGGCGGTCGGAGGATGATGGACGGAATCTGGGCCTTCAGGTGTAAGAGACAGGGAGACATGGGCACACTCGCTCGTGGCTTCTGCACGGCACGCACTTGCGAGCTAAACGGGCCTAAAGCAGGTTAACACTGGGCTTGAGAGGAATGCAGTTGAGCTGTAGGGCGCTAGGGGAGTCTTGCCGAGGAGAGGGCAGGGATGGTGGCATAGTGGCATGGACGGATACGAACAACTGAGTGCGGCCTGCCCCAGGCGAGGCTGGCAATTGGCGTTTTATACGCGTGTTTCGCCTTTTGCATTTCCTGGCCATGACACATGTAGAACTGCACCCTCATTTCCAGCTACCATACATGCCCATTACCCCCAACCGCCCTTTTGCTGTGACGACAAAGTTGTTCAATCGTGGCTGTCTCCGTGGACGTGACGCATGTCTCCGCCAGATGCGCCGTTGACGATTCATCACCGGCTTAAGGCACGATCGGCATAGCGCAGGACAAGCCTGCGAATTGCATGTGGGTCGCTCATTATCCACCTTATTTGCTGCCGCTGCCATGCCTGCGAGCCCACTCGAGTCAGATGTATGGTAAAATATGGTCATGGTGCCCGCCGAGGACCGACCAGACTGATGGTGGCAGTTGGTAGCAACCCCATTTTGCTGAGGCAGGCGCCACCGACCGTGTTGAGCGTAGCACCTAGTACCGTAGTGCGCCTACTGTCCCTGTCAACCACCACACCCCGCCCATACCTCAACGCACTGCACCACCACCAAGCCAATCCAACACCTCCCACACCGAACAGCCCACAGGACCCTTATCATGTTCGCTGCTCGCCGCCTTTGTCTGGTCCGCCCAACTGCGACCCGACGTTTGTTCCACGCCTCTGCTCCTGCCTTTGTTAAAGTAGGAGACAAGCTGCCTGATGTCGACCTAGTCGAGGGCTCGCCTGGTAACAAAGTCAATCTCGCCAAGGAGTTGACCGGCAAAGGTTTAATCATCGGTGAGTCCACACCACCTACCCCAATCTTCTGCACCTAACAGCCCCCCAGGCGTCCCGGCCGCCTTTTCACCCTCTTGCTCGGAGAGCCATGTCCCCGGCTACATCAACTCACCTAAGCTCAAGGATGCCGGCAATGTCTTCGTCGTGTCGGTGAACGACCCCTTTGTGTAGGTTCAGCCCACAATTACCTAAATCCCATGGACTGGTGTCGTGCACGTTCCATTAGACTTGTGCATCACCAGCTGAGGATACACAACTGCATGCGACCCTCACTGACCACGTGCAGCATGAAAGCTTGGGGCAAAATCCTCGATCCTTCGGGTTCCAGCGGCGTGAGTGTCCCTGTGCAAGTCGTGCAATGTTGTCATATTGATAGTCCGCAAGATCCGCTTCCTGGGTGATCCCAGTCTCAGCTTCACAAGAGCCCTCGACCTCTCCTTTGACGGCGCCTCCATCTTTGGCGGCGACCGTTCAAAGCGATACGCCCTCGTCATTGAAAACGGTGCCGTAAAGGCAGCGCACGTCGAACCCGACAACACGGGCTTAAACGGTTTGTAGTCTTGCTGATTGACTCCCCCAACTACCACGTTACTAACATGGTTAGTCTCTGCTGCCGACAAGGTTCTGTACAAGTAGAAGATCTACACTGCAAATACGTGTGCGGAGTGAGGCACGATGATCAAACATTGATGCCTCCCAAGACCGAAGATTATGCCGAAGCTGCGTAACACTTTCGACAAGTACGTTTGATGGAGGAATCAATTCGCCGCAACCACCATGGCATGTCTGCTCCTCGGGTGAGAGACCACCGGCCATCGAGAGACTGTGAGTTATCGTAATTGGCTCAATGCATCACTCTACATTTGCCCTGCGTTTGCTAAGCTGTTCCTGTATGGTCTGTATGGTCTGTGATGCCATTCACTAGACTTCCACATGTTCTTCGCTGAATCGGTTTTTTTACCTGATAACTCGTTGGTTGTCCGGGAGGCCAATGTAGCTATGTTAGTACTTTGGTAGAGCTTACGTACTTCATAATCTCGGCATTCCTCTACCAGCACAGATACCATGGTTATACTTCCATTTCGCATCGTTTGATCATAGCTTGTGTAGTTTGGTGGTGCCTCCACTTATAACACAACCAACGCTGTCGATGCTCTTGTGTTATGGTGTTCTCGAGCCATATCCTGTTTTCCTTGGCTACCTGTAAAAGAGCTGCGGACCCCAAATTTCCACGGTGACGAACAGCGTTTTCCAAATCCTTCCTAAATATCCAACATCAGCTGCGCTTCCGCTTACCTCCGCTCGCGTCGCAACACCCTCGCCGCATTTCTTCGGGTCCGCTCCACCGCCTCCATTAGAACAAGCTCTCCCTGCTTTACTCAATCCTTCAATTTTTACCTGCGTCCACGGCTCGACAATGCACTCGTAATCTTTGTTCCATGTTGTTGGTGTTGAGGATAGACTGGTGCAATGGTCGGGTGCTTAGAAAAATATTCACAGCGAGAGTCTTGCCGACAGTGGGATCGGCTGTGCGGAGATCCGCAGAAATATTTGTGGTATATAAGGAGGCCTCTTCTCCAGCATACAATTTCGAATATCGCATCTAGCTCTGGGGTTTCAATTCCATCCGCGCTTGTGTCTATTCATAAGAGTCGCGCGACTTCTCTGCCTTATATAGCGCAAACGGCAAACCCCTGGATCAAATGGATTTCCATTGTGAAAATTGAGCATGAAATTTATTACGCAAAGCTCTCACTAATCACATTGGAAAGCGAGCTACAAGACAACTACCAGAAATCTTCTACCGAAGGGATTGTGTAGAAATATCAAGACACCACGCGCTTGTGTTGAAGTCGCAGTATGGAATCTGAACGAATCTAGCTCCTGGAAACCTGATATGAACAATACTGGCACAGCTTACCTCATGGATTTGGTTGCGCAGCAGGAAGAGCAAGGGAACCATGGGCTCTTACACCCGATTAAGATTGGGGTCCCATAGCTCCGCGGAGCAACGGCAAAAGCCGAGAGATTGGATATATCAGCCCGCCTCTAAAGCGACACTCATCCCACCAGGATTGTGCGAGTTTGTGATCTTAGAGTCGCTCACTGTGATTACCTACTTCCATGAGAAGTAGTGGTAGTGAGTGACTTGTTCTCTGCAAATCAGCCAGAAGTCACCTCCAGCAGATGAAGAGCTTGACTTGGTAGCTGGAAGAGGGGAATCAGAGCCGGTGCATTTCAGTGACCAACTGCTTACAAACTCAGTGGACAGCATGGTGTCAAACAAACAAAACTTTGGCTTGGTAACCACAGCAACAACATGACTTGGGAAACTAGGTTGATACGGACATACTTCAATGGGATCGATGATTCAAGACACATAAGTCTCGGTCTTAGTGTACTTAAAAAGAATATAAGAAAGGGCTAGAAAATTGGTGGAGGCATGCTAAGCCACTGCTATAGGCAATTTGTTGATATAAAATAATACATCCAGCTATACTATCGACCTCCCCATCATGAATCCCAAGATTAATTTGCAACCTCTTATCTACTACCCCTACCCGGTCAACGAAACAAACCAAAAAAAATGACAATATATGATACCCCACCACCCCTTCTATACCCGCGTAATGCTACGTGTCCTTAGTTTTACCATCGTTCACTCACCCTACACTCCCCTTGAACATGGTTAGTAAACGCTACTTGTACACTCCAAATCTTCAATCTCCTCCATACTCTTGTACGTCCTTGAATCAGCCACGTTTATGACTTACTAAATGGGTGTTGAATAAGGGATTGAAAAGTTAGTAATAACTTGGAAAGCGAATGCAGAATCTGATACTCCGTGTGCGTAGAAATTCGGGCTATGTGCCAAGTGCTGTTGAAAAGAGTCTTGATTCCGAACATTGGACACACAAAATATGAAGTCTGAAGTGTAAGGTGTTTAGTAAGCAAACAAACAGATGCGTGGCAACCAACGTGGCAACCAGCGTGGCAACAGACGTAGCAGTAAACACTCATTTACGTACGTCGTTACCCAGCCTGCCCAGACAAACACTCAATCTGCACCCTGCACCACCGTTTACCCTACATACACATTACACGTACATACCCGCAACCAGACCAAACTCCTTGCCCCTTACATCCCACTCTACCCAAACAACCCCAAGCAAACCCTTAATCTGTACCACCGTTTACGTACCCTGCACTACTTACACATACATACCCGCAACCAAACCAAACTCACATCCGCTATTCATAGCAATCTAGTACCCACTCTCCCCCGTATTTCCGCCCTGCTTCTGCGTTGCGGTGCAACGGCCTGCCTGCCTATAGCAGTCACATGTGGAGATAAGGTACAAGTTCCTATATTTAGACTAAACCACTTTAGCCTAGGAACCTGTATGCTAGGGATGAAAAGGGAAAAGGTTAAAATAACATCGGTGACATACTGTAGTCTTTTAGGAGTAAGAAAAGTTGTGCGTACACGGAAAAAAAGTAATTCCAGTGTTGGGTAACCGTGTGTTAGTTGTTATCAGATACTATATGAGTGAGCGAACGAGACAGTTTGTTCCAAAAAAAATTGCAAGGGAAATGACGTTCGAATTAAGTAATGCATACCCCGAACCAAGTCCAGCCCTACGCACTACATCTCCAACTCCTCATGTTCAACACCCCACTCACTTCTTCCCCGCAAACGCACAAGCACCAAGTTGTTTCTTCTCAGGCACAACATGAGGCGCGATATCGAAATCGAAGATATCCATCGGCAGCCCAATCGTCGTGCAGGCATTGGGGATATCCACGATACCGGCAATGTGGCCCTGGACAGGGGCACACGAGAGGAGAAGGTAGATTTGGTAGTCGTTGTAACCTAGACAGAACGTCGTTAGTAAAAGCCCTCAATCTCACAAAATAGCAGACAGACAAGCAATAAAAGTAATAGGAGGGATAGAGTAGGAAGAAGACAGAAATGAAAAGGGAACACGACATACCAAACCTCCTCAAATACTCCACAACCCTCAAACAACTCTGCCTATACGCAACCGTTGCATCGAGATAATGCTGCTTGCCCTTCTCATCAACACTAAACCCCTCGAAATAAATATACCGTCCGGACCCAAACTGCGGTTCTACGGGGCCAGGGATGTAGATCGGACTCTTCATATCCAGCTGTTTCATACCACCTTTCATAACGCTGAACTTCAGCGTAATCACACCCGCCATTTCAATCGCGCCGCAGAAGCTGATTTCGCCATCACCTTGGCTGAAATGCAAGTCACCAACGCTGAATTTAGCGCCAGGCACATGGACAGGGAGGTAGACTTTTGAGCCGCGGGAGAGGTTTTTGATGTCGCAGTTTCCGCCATGTTCGGGGCGGCCGGGGATGGTGCGCGCGCCTTCTTTTCCAATCTTTTGGAGGAGGTCAGCTGGTGCAGAGCCGGCGTGGACGTTGGTGGGTTGAGGGGGTTCGGCCACGGTGCGGTTGAGGTGGGTGTGCGTGGTTATCAGTTCGGCTTCGCGCGTGTTCCAGGTTTCTAGGACTTCGGCCGAGGGGGCACAACCGAGGACTGGGGCGGATGGGTTAGATGTGGTATACAGTAGGGATGGAGGGAGTGCATACTGCCTGGGTGGATGAGGCCTGCGAAACGGACGCCGGGGATGTGGCGGGAGCTGCAGAAGATGCCTTCAAAGTCCCAGATGGCTTTTGCTCTGGGGTTTGTTAGTTCGTCTTTCTTACTCTTTTGTGTTTACGATAGTCGAGACGTACGGCTCTGGGTAGATTTCATCCAAGAAACCTCCTCCGTTTTCCTTTGAGAAGATACCGGTAAATCCCCATGGCTGTTCATCTAACGGTTGCACATCTTGGATCTCGACAAGAAGCACATCACCAGGCTCCGCAGTCTCGATATCAAAGGGACCGGTGAGGTAGTGAATCTTGGTTAGATCTACGTCGCGTACATCATCTGCAGAATCGTTGTTGCCGATTTGGCCACCAGTCCAGTCTACACATTCGATCTTAACTGCCTCGCCGGGTTTGATGGTGCCATAGGAGGGATTTTCGGGATGCCAGCGGTTCTAGAAATACGTTCAGAAAGATTCATAAGAACTAATCCAATAGGTATAGGGTACAGACATGGAGACACTTTTGCTCTGATGCTGGCTTGTCTAGAGATACTTTCGCAGCGTATCTGAGGCCTTCTTTACCCATCTTGCAATTCTAGAGAAGAGGAAGATGGTTCAGGAAAGAAAGTTATTTCTAATATTGTGAGTACGATAAGAGACGAGGGGAAAGAGGAGTGAAGAGGAGAACACTCCGTTGCAATGGAGGGGAAAACGCGTCTATGAAGTCAACGGGCGAAGGGAAAGCGCACTCCCTCCTTCCGATTGTTATCTCTGATGCTTCCAGCTGCCGAAAAGACGGCACAGATCCATGTTCACCAACCAACGGTACAAGGCGGATGATAAGCACGATGATAATATGATTTGGAGCTGTTACGTTACTTGGAGCTCTAAGCTACCTACCCCAATGGGACGCGTTGACCCCACTGCGGGGTATACCACAAACGACGCGATCATCGTCATTACCAGATAGCGTCACAGTTATATGTACTTTCTTGCCGACGGCGCGAGTGGGACTGTTCGCGACTGGCTACCAAGGAAACGCGTTTTCGACGTACCGAGCGGCGTTTCTCTGCTCGTACGTAACTTGTGACGCAGCCCTTCAATGCCTGGTTCATCTAACTGAAAGTCTTTCGTGGTGTCTGGCGCACTTCAGACTGGACCGCAGGCTTGTGCATTGCAAGGTTGTATTCGTCCATGTGTTGCCAGGGCAGGTTTAAGAACTCGTGCTTGTTTTTCCAACGAAGCGACTCTTCCTTGAACTTGTCGGCTTCGGTCGGGGGAAGCGGTGGCTCTGTAATCTTAGTAATGAGGTATGCTGTCGAGGCTTCTGCGAGGCCGTAGATGAGGACGCCGACGAGTGGGATCTTGACGAAGATGTAGAAGCCGAGACCGAAACCGAAAAGCACGCCTGCTCGATCCCTGAACCAAAGCTTCTTCTGTTCTGGAGTGTAGCGCACGCGTGCAAAGTAAGGCTCGAGCTACAGGAGGTTAGTTGAAGGGATCGGGCATATGTTGAAGTCCATACGTACCAGCTCACGCATAAGAGTGCGGGACGAAAAGTAAGCCTGTAGGAAGCTGACTAGATATCTGCGCGGGAATAACAGAGAGCCAGCAAATATAGCGGCTGCTGGCTGAGTTCCTACTGACTTCTTGAAAGTGTAGAAACTGGCGGCTGGAAGCACGAAGCGGCCTACGTAGGGAGCATAGGATAGTGCAAGAACTCCCAGGGAAATGGCAGCCTTCTTGCCCTGCTTCATGGTATACAGCATAACAGCCTGCCTTATTGGCATCTTCTCCTTGTCTGGTTTCGGTGCGTGTTCGGGGTACTTTTCGAGGTTTGGGTAGTACATGGCGCGGAGGTTGTGCGGGTCTTCGGTCTTGTGCTTCTGTACATAGGTTTCATCGACCCAACGCAGGGAGTCCATGAACCTGGGAGATTGTTAGCGAGGCATATACGACGAGCAGATATCCTTACATATGATCCAGAGTAGGCGTGACGTAGCGCATCATCGTCATGAGGAAGAATGGTACTTGGAGCACCGTGTGCTCAAGGAAGTGTAGCCCGTTCACGACACTTTCGTCCAAGTGCGTGTGGTCCATGTTGACGAAGAGAGAGACGATCCATAGTAGCACGCGTACACCGACAATCTGGACATGTCAGAACAGAGTATACAGTGGTGGGTAGCGGAACGTACGGGTATGGCGACAATGACTCGGATGGCGATGCCAGCAACTACAGCTATCACAGCTTGGCGATAGTGGTCTGAAGTGAAGAGGCCTGGGTTCTGAAGCGCTCGGTTCACTACGGGAGTGTGTCAGAGAAAGGCCGTCGCTTGCGATACCATGATGGCCAGAGCCAAGTAAGTACTCACCACCAACTAGAGTCAGCTGCGCTCCACGCAGGATAGCATTGAGATCAAAGTTGGATATGTCAAACTGCGAAACATCCAACTTGTCCATGTTTACTGCGTCACTCGACTGTCAGGCAGCGTGGCGGTCTGTGTAATGGTGCTGCACGGCAAAGCAGGTGCTGACACGACGGCCTCGTATACTGGCTCTGATAAAAGGACGAGCTCGGATAGATTATATGGGGAGAGTTTGAGAGAACCAGAGAGCACAGAAAGCTTCTTGGTGTTTGCCAGCACTCAGTCTGCTCTGGCCGCGGCCAAGTGGATGCATGAAGCGTGTGCGTGCGAACACACTGCGAACTGGCGGAGCAATGACGTACCTACGATCCGCGCGGCTGGCGGACCCATCTGTATGCAGCTGGCACATGTCGCGAACAAAGGGATGCGTTGAATGTGCCAGACTCGCACAGCAGCATTTTCACGCACTTTTGTTCTCGAAGCCTGACGGAAGACACTACAAGTGGCGTTCTGACACGCGGGGTCAGAGGTTCGGATGAGTTGAAACTCGACATGATCTCCGTGGTCAAAGCGCATACGTAGTCAGGGACTCCCTTCAGCCTCCCACTAGCACCGAACGCGAACCAAAACCTCCCACCAGTCACCATCTTAGTACCATCTCGCAAGCGCCGGACGCTGGAAAAAGACAGGAAACAGGGGAAACTCGACCTCAAAATCCGCGGTACGGCAATGCAAACATAGCACGCCCATCATGTCGACGCCGGCTTCATCACAGCAACATCCCGAGCACGCGCCGGCTACCAGTGTCAGACGCAGCTTCACCCTCCCCGCAAAGGCAAAGAGGCCCACATCTGTCCCTCCGCCCTCAAACAGCGTAGACGGAATCGAAACGCTGTTTGTGTGTTCAAACTCCAAGATCGTCTCCTTCACAACAGCTGGTCCCGCCCGCCGACTCTCACCTAGCCGATCGGGTGACACGTCGCATCCGATACAATGGAAGACACCCACGGAGCGCACCCTCGCAGTCGGTATGTCGTCCCATGTAGGACATGTCATGTCAATCCGCTTATTAACGTCTGCACAGGTGTCTTACGCATCTATCGCGTGACAGCCTCCAACGTCTCCTTCCTCAACAGCGGCAACCTCCTCCACACAATCTTCCCTCGCAGCCAGATCTGGTGTGTCGATAACCAGTCGGTATTTGTACTGCGCGTGCGGCAAGACTCGTACTATCGGATGGAGCTCCCCTTCGAGACGGATGAGGACAGGGAGAAGATTGAACAGTTCAAGTTGGTCTTGTCGCAGGTGATGCAGTATGAGAGGACTCAGTGCCCGTTTGCTAGAGGCTTCGTCGCGGAAGAGCTGGAGCGTCCGAAGAGTCCACCGCGGAGAGTAGTAAAGAGGAAGCCCTCGGGGCAGGCGAAGAAGTGGGTAATGGATAAGACCTGGGTACCACAGCAATACGGCTCAAGACCTTCGACCTCTGGTACTGAACGCTCGGCGTCTAGTGTGACTTCTTCCAACGACGAGGACGATCGGTCGAGCGTCATTACTGATAGCAGCGAGGCCGTACCCGAGGCTCCCGAGACTCCCTTTGTGAGAGACCTACCCAGGTCACTCGCATCAACTGCTCTCCCTCGCCGACCGTCAGTGGCCGAACGCGCGAGCATCTTCGGCCAGCGCTCTGTCACAGCACCGGTGAGGACACACAGGACAGGGTCAGTGTCTGCCATGAAGCGTATAGTCGAGTCCCCAACGGAACCACAACCACAACGCAGCGAAGTCGAGAAGCCGGTGCTTGAGCGCCAAGTTTCTGATGCCGTCAGTCTGGCCTCAAGCGCCGACTCCTTCTACTCCTTGGACACTGTCACGCCAAGAAGTCCATCACCCAAGTTCCTTGATGCAGAAGGTGATCTCGTGAACCCTTGGGCAGCCGCCTTTTCAAAGGAACAAGACGAGCCAAGGGGACGTTCAATCCATCGCCGTGACATGTCAGAGATTACTGTCCGCGCTCCCTCGACCGAGGGCACCGGACCTTCCGCTCCAGTGACACCCACAATGCCATACTATTCGAGCTCAACTCCCTCGATCAATGTACGGCCATCTTCAGCCCCCTCAACACCACCGCTTATCAACGACTCGGATGATGACAGCTTTGAGCGTGCCAGCTTGGATCTCGCCACACCTCCTGATTCGATCCGGATGAAGAGACTCACAGGAGCGTCGCAGCGACGAGCCTTCTCACCCATGCCTCACGCGCACAACCTGTTCTGCCCGCCCAAACAACACCCTGGACGCGACTTTACAAACGCATTGGTGCGTAAGACGTGCGAAATCGTTCTCGGACCGCCCGCACACCTCGTCTCTATCATGCTGCGCATCGCTACGAGCATCTCCAATGGTTTTGGCTTCAGCAATTACCGCATGCGTCGAGCTGAAAAGATCCCGTGTTCATGGGAGTCGGATGATGAAGCTGACTGGGCTGAAGAGGATGACTTTGGGATTCCACTCGGCAACATTAGAGACGCAGCGCTTCGCCGGCGGACCTTTTCGGGTGAGCTTGACTAGGGGCGTTGAACTGTAGGGGGCTGCTTTTCCTACTGTTGCATATGCACGATGATACCAAGTGCTAGTATCTTTTATGGCTGCATGGAAGGCGCAAGGCATGCTTTTTTCTTGGTCCACGATGGAGGCTTTTTTCTCTTGGCGAACTACACGATTGTAATATGGTATGACATGTAATTAATTTCTTACAGGGTGTGTAGTATATTATAGACGTGGGTGGTGTGCAGAGTTCGGATGAAGAGTATACACCTTTTACACATTTACACACCGTCTTTGCTTGGAGCAACAACCTTACGGGCGAGCTGAAACCCCCAACCCCAGGCCAACTTTAGGCTAGAGAAGAGTGTGGTGACACGACTCAGCAGTTGCTTCTGCCGCGAAAGGGTTGCAACTGGCATTCCAAGTCCTTTCTGTACGACGTCAAGGCCAACGCCCTGGCATCACTCACTTTGCTCGATGCATCTAGGCTGCATGACATACTGGGCTGGTGCTGGAAGAGCGATGCAAACTTGATCGAGGTGCAGCGTAGAGGCAAGGGCAAACGGTGCCGCACGTTAGCTCCCGACTCAGTCCCGTGCTATGGTTGGCCGCCTCTTCCCAAGCACAACAAGCAGCACGACTGGGCAAGCTTGTCACGATCCGCGATGACGAGTCGCGATGACGAGCCAACGTGACGAGTCTTGAGGGTGTCTTCACAGCTGCACACGACGCCTGCTCATCCCATTGCACCCAGCCCATCAGCGCCAAGGCGAGAAACGCACATCATGTCTACATATGCACCCTCTCACCTGAACAGAATACAGGCGAACAAGTGCTAAATGATGGCCTCTATCGTGGGTCAGGTAAAATGACAATGCAGGGTTATGGGGCCCAGCCACGCTGGCAAACTTGGACCGCGCCCACCAGGCTTTACCGCAAGTTCAGCGCCGGCCCTGGAGCCAATGACGCCTAGGCCTTCCTCGCGTGCGAACGCACGTCAACAAGGACGACACCGACTAATAAGTTTCTGGAGGAGGCGGGTGATCGCAACGATCCCACTTCTCGCTGCTTAATATTCCCTACTCTCATCTTCGTGTCAGGGCTTGGACACCCGTCTCGCTTCCCCGCTCCCACATACATACGCACTTACGCAACCACCTTGGCTTCGCTGCGCCAGGCCTGGCATCTGCTTACGACTGCACGCCTTTTATTATGAAAAGAAAGATGGCCGACCTTGACGTCTTGATGGACGAGACGTTGACGCTCTGCAAAACCCCGCCCGTACCCCGACGCCACCCATACCGCGAGTTCTACCAGTACCGGAAATCTCTTCCTGTGACGCCCTCAAAGCCTGAGATGGAAATGGTGGGCCAGCCAATGTTCCAGTTCAGAGCGCCGGCCCCCGCCCCCGCTGGTGAACTGGTCCCCAAGCCGTTGTTCAGCAGAAGCAACAGTCTACCGTCGCGCGCAACACGACCATCGCTACCTGTGCGACCATCCGAGCCATTTCAATTCAACGCAGACATTGTCAAAAGCCCCTCACCTCTGTTCAGTAGGAGGAACACGCTGCCATCGAGGATTTCTCGCGCCGCTGCCGCCGAAAGAAAGCCCTCGCCCTTGTCGCGCAGAGAGGATGCACACTCAACCGGTCCGACCCACTTCGCGCCCACGAAACACACGTCACCAGCCGACTTGTCATCCAAGGACTCGAACACCAGCAAGCGACGCTCTTTCCCGGCACGAGCGTCCAGCGTTCCTACTGCTCCAAAAAGACCGTCTCCACTTTCTGGTAAAGGCAGTTTGCGCCAATCCGGAGGGGCTGCCCACATCGCGCCCATGCAGCCCGTATCTCCAATCGTTCTATCGCCTGCCATCTCTCACACTAGCTCCGCAGTTTCATCGCCAACACCCTCTGTCTTCTCCACAGCAGACTCTGCCAGCTTTTCTGCATCGACACCCTCAACGCCTGCCACGTCGCCGCCCAGTACCCCAAAGTCCGGCACCCAACCACAGGTGTGCTACTTCACCGCAACCACGTGGAACTTCAAGACGTCGCCTTCCCCAGTCTACATCCCCAGAAACAAGTTGAGGAGGAAGGATAGCCCGCGATTCGAGACGCTGAGGACTCTTCGCGCCAAAGAGTCGGACGCATGTCTTGAGCGAGTATACGGTCAGCGCACCTCAGCCTACCTGGCATGGACAGGTTTCGAAGCATTCACGAACTAAGTCTCGGCAGCCTTTGAAGTCCGGCCATGACCGCGCCATTTTTGCCACGATATTGCCATAGAGATTAAGACGGCACACGATACCCAGAAGAAGACACTAGAAGAGAGACTTGTTAGTCTTCACTGCGCACACCACGTGTACTCGGTTCCTGACCGTACACAGGTGATCAATGCAGATCACATCTGCAAGCACAACCTTATGATTTATGATTACAACGACTGGGAATGGGAGATATCTACGGTGTTATGGTAGTCGATTATAATACCCAGGGTTTGAATATTTTAGCGCTTCGCATCGGCTCTTTCACCTCACTATACGGTAGCAAGATTTTACACATGTAATCTAATCGATCACAGGGCCTTTGCGCCTTATGTTGTTTCTACTTCTTCTGTGGACGTGTCACAACCATCGGTGGAGGCACATGGCCTCCGCAGAGCCTCCTTTGGGCGTTCATGCAAAGCTTATATCAGCCCCGCTGCCTGCTGACCTACATCATCGATACAGGTCGAGGCGCAGTCACACGGCACACGGCTAACGATTAGCCATTAGCCGGGACACAGACTGCCTTATCCCCGGTACTCGACCACTACCAACTTTTCGGTATTCCAGACTGCTCTATTGGGCAAATGGCTGCGACTAACTGTCATCCTCTGGCGTATACGGAACATTATTTGTGCTATATGTAGGGCGCCTGCGCCGCATAGCCGTCGTGGCGCAGCGCGTTGCCTATCTTGTGAGAAGGTGGACCCAACTAGCCTTACCAAGCTAAGCAGGCGCGTAATATTATGGCCCCAAAAGCTTCAAGTACAGCACACCGCGCTGCATGTGTGGGGTGTGCTGCAGAAGATTTATAGCATGCCGGTCCCGGCTTTGTGGCCGCGAGGTCACTTTGTAGATCCAAGTCCTGGACGTCATCGGCACCCGGTTCCATCTGCTGCTTTTTTTGTGGATCGCGCAGCCTGGTAGGCAACATCGATACAAGAGGACTCGCACCTGACTCACAACGAATCGCCACTGCAATAAGTAACTTTAGGGGAGGCCCCGTGACTGTTGATGTATATGAGTGGGAGGAGGTGGACGTGATTTGATTCCCGCAACTTTCACCACGCGACCTACACCCCAAGTCACCCACGAAGCCGGCTAGACTACGCTATTTACAACTACGAAATCACATACAACACCAAAAAATCTCGCCCATCTGGGAAACAACAGCATGGAGCCTTCAAACTCGGAAAGAAATCCAAATGCGCCGCTGCGCCTGCTGTCACTGGATGGAGGGGGTGTACGCGGCTTGTCGTCGCTGCTTGTGCTGCAAACCCTCATGGAGAATATAGCTTTGGAAGAGAAGAGACTAGGGAGAAGAGCTATGAACAATCACGAGCCGCTGAAACCATGTGACTACTTCGATCTTATTGGTGGCACATCAACAGGCGGCATCATAGCCATTATGCTCTCGCGGTTACGGCTCGACTGCAAGCAGTGTATAGATGTGTACAGCAAGCTGGCCGAGCAGATATTCAAGCATGACAGGTCTTTCAAAGCATTTGGAATGAAAATACCTACAGGAGCGAGTCGATTCTCCGGTGTTGTTCTGGCCAACGCTATCAAGACAGCGCTCAAGGACTTGAATTTTGACCCTGACGAACTCATGTGGGATGAAGCACTGTTTGAAGAGGTGGATGATGCGAACGATTTGCCCAGAGACAGCATCTGGGCTGATGCTCTGCCTGAGATGATGGTGACAGAAAGTCCAGTGAATACGATGAAAAACTCGCAATACTCACTGGAATCGGGTCCAGCGGATAGCATCGACAGCTCAAAGGCTCCTTCGACATTGTACAGTGATAGCCCATTCCATCCTACCATCAAGGCACCGGAGCGTAGGTCTACTTGGAAACTTCATCACCGTCAATCAGTGCACCGAAAAGCGAATGCAAAGGGCTGCCGGGGTTTCGTACTCACATCACTCAAGAACGCCCTCGGACTCCCCAGGATTCTATCTACATATGATCCCAACGACCGAACAACCCGAATTTGGGAAGCACTCCGCGCCACTTCAGCAGCCCCCACATTCTTCGAAGAAATGCAATTCGGCACCCCCAAAGTCACCTACCTCGACGGCGGCGTCGGCTTCAACAACCCGTGCGCAGAAGTCGACTACGCCGCCAAAGCGCTCTGGGAAGGCCGCTCAATCGGCGTCATAGTTTCTGTCGGCACCGGTCTCCAAAGCATCCCCAGCGTCAAGAAAATGGCATCCTGGCTCCCCTTCGGCCTCGGCACCGACATCTCCATCGCCAGCGCCCTCACCGGCATGGCAACCTCCACAGCTCGCGTCGACAACGAAATGAAGCGCATGTACAACAACTCAGACACCCGCTACTACCGCTTCGACGTAGACCGTGGCCTCGCCGACGTCAGCCTCGAGCAATGGATGAAAGAAGACGAAATGGCCTCTTTAACCGAACAATATATGTCCGACACTCTCCAAATTCGACTCGCCCGCGACTTTGGCGAACGCATGGCCAAACTCTCCGCCCTACCCCCTCGCTTCGAAATCGGCGCCACACATTTCCGCCTCGGCATCACCGGTCACGGCCTCCTCGACTCGTCGTTTTCCCTCCAACAAGTCGATTTCAAAACGGGACTGCCGCTGGGTATCGCACCGTTGCTTGACGATGTTCCCCGCATGTCTGCGTTCCGCACCACGTCGCCGTCGGGTGAAGGCGGCCTCGCTATCGATGCGACAACGGGTCGGTTGAAGAAAGTTTACCCTGTGGCGGAGGACTTGGACCATGATGGTCGGCGCGAAGAGGCGACTGTATATCAATGCGTTCGCGCGGACAACGTCTGTCTCCGCACTATCAAAACGGGGATTCCGCAGGGCAAATATAAAGTCCAGTTTATCGTTGCTTTCCACGAGCTTTCCGCCGGCACTGCAAACCCCAAAGACGTTGTCTTTAGCGTGGGTAAACCGTTTGATGCACGTACTTTTATAAAACGGTTTGTCGATGTTAAGATTACACCGGATGTCGGGTCGGTGCTGTTGCATCCTGATGCCGTAAGGGTGAGGGTTGGAGGCAAGAGGTATGCAGAGGGTAAAGGGAAGGGGTGGATGGAGGTCGAGGGTGATGTACCCGTTGATGTGGGACTGGATGGTTCGTTGGGGTTTATTGTTAGTAAGAAATTTGAGGAGGGGGTGTTTGTGGGTGGGTGGAGTTTTGGAGGTGTGAGGTTGGAGCCGGTGTTTGGGGAGGTGGGGAGGGTGGGGAGTCCGAGGGCTCCGTGACTTGAGGGGTGAGAGACGATGGTTGAGAGGGGGGTATAGAGATGAGATAGGTTGGGCTTTGTGTATGATTCCATGTTTCTGTGGGTTTAGCATTGGGCGTTCTGGGTACGGAAATATAGTAAACAGACGGGCAGGCAGGCAGGCACGACATGTAAATTGCATCCTTCTTAACAACATCCTTACATTGCCCCTAATCTTCGCCCTAAGCTATACTCCTATCACACATAATGTCTACGCTTGCCGAACGCGCCACATCGTGCTTTTGTGCAGTTTTAGACAGCGGCAAAACACAAAATAAAGGTTCGGCCTAAAAACCCCACACGTATTAGCCCTTAACTATAGCCCCTTACAACTTGCAGTTCTTAGGATTTTCACTGCAGATCTAAAGAAGTACGGATTAGCGTAGGTAATTGTCGTTAGGTGCGCGGGTCTTACATCGCCAATACCGGGGTCCATGCCTATTACGTATTCAGCGGTGACTCGGGAGATGATGCCTAGAAGACATAATCCGATGGCGATGAGCTTCATGGTAGGATTGAAGGTGGAGAGTGTGGTAGCCGTTTGCGGTTGGTATGGTAACGTGGTAGGTGTTTTTGTCGAGACGCGGTGAGAGCCTTCACTAGTATTCACGGTGAATCAGGCTTCCCGTGCTCTGATTGGCCAGGCACTGATTAGTCAGCTGCTCCGTGCGCGCACCATAGATATTCTCCCTTCTCCCGTAGCTCCAATACAACAAGTTGACGCACGTTTCTCCACCTTCATCAGAATCATGTTGTATTAGAGCTGTATGGGAAAGAGGTCTATATACGCAGTAGGAAGAGGGAGTGAAGGAGCTAGGCCGTAAAGGTACTAGCGGGTAAATGGGTGGCTGCCTGGTTGCCCAAGGAGGAGCCAAGGGATAAGCCCTATGGCCGACAGATACCAATACCAATGAATGAAAACTAGGATCTGTGGATATTTGATGGTCGGAGCACACATCTGAGTTCATCTTCCTTCACCAGCCTGGGGTCACAATGGCTTCACCCCAACGGCTCAGCAGCTTGGCTCTCGAGATTGTATGATCTAAAAAGCTACTTTCCACCACGTTCCCCTTCCGAGTTCTCGAGTTATCTGATGCGCTTCTCGAAATCAGTTCGTGCTTTCCAAGACAATCGTGGGTGTATCTCATGTAAGTAATACAAAAACATAGAAACTGTTCACTAATCATTTCTAGTCTTTGTTTCGAACAATTCTGAGCTGGTAAATCCGCCCTAATTTCTTGACGATCGTTTGGGTGATGAAGGCGTCGCCCATGCTCGCCCATGCTCGCCCCGCCCAAGAGGACATCCGTCTACACCTTGGTAAAGTTTGTGCATCTTTCATGACACAACTTGCGTCGAACCCTCTCCATGGTTTACCAGGGAAAACCAACCCTATTCACACTCCGATAGAACTGCTGCCCCTCATTTCCGTCAGTGTAGCCTTGTTCAGCTATCAAATTTCGTCGATAGCGTTCAATTCTCGTATGCACCATGGCGTTGAGGATGGTATCGGCTTTTTTGTCTTTTTGATACCCTATACGCTTTTAGGTAGTTCTGTACATTACAATAGCACCATGGCGAGATATTGACACGGATCCACGCCGTCATTCGATACACCTGTCCTCCCTCCAGGACGCTAGAAGCGATGCTTGTTTCTACGAACAACTCCAAAACTGTGTGTTGGATCTCACTTCAGCTACAAAAGATTTGCTCGAGCTATTCGATATAGATTTCGCAGTCCAGTCGGATTTTAGTTATCTCGCCACCGAAACGCGCGCGATATGCTCAGACTTGATTAGAACCTCAAACAAACTTTGTGCTCGACTGGAGAGTCATCTCCGCTTGACCGAGCTGCTGTGTGGGTTTAAAGAGCCACTAAACGTGTGGAAACTGGGTCTTCTGGCCAGTGGATTCCTCCCGCTTCCCTGGCCACTGGTCTACTCAGTATGCAAACCCGCGTTGCAGATCTCCAATTATTGCTATACGACTTTTTTGGCGTAATCATTCTACTCGGCACTATGGTAATGGGGTTCTCTTTCTTATCACTATTGTATGCACGATCCAAGTACTTGCAGGTAAAGGCAAAGGATAATGCCCTATTTCGTAAACAGATTTACCCTTTCATCAAATCTGTTGGTCTAATTTTCTGTTTCTTAACTTGGGGATTGATGTTGGTGAGCTTTCTGGTTGGAATGACGAAAAGCGTTAGGCTTAGTCTCCTAATATTAGGATACGGAGCTATCATTGTTGTGTCGACAATACTTGCCGGAATAGGTGCTTGGCTTAGGCGGAAACCCCTACAAGATTAAACAAAGGAGGAATGAAAAAAACGAGTGCTGATTGATGAGAACAGATTTTGGATAGAGTTTATGGAGCACTTGCATTCTTAATGAGTTGGCTTGGGTAAGGCGTATACCAGTCGCGCGCACGGGAATACGAGTCAGCGAGAAGTCCCGCAGTGCAACGGGCGAACACCATGGTAAACTATATACATAACAATAAACTCAAACACTAATTTCTCCACAAATTGTAAGATGTAACACAATATTTTTCATTCAAGGACTAGCCACTGAAGTAGTAAGCGAGCCACTCTCAACGTAAACACCGCTAAAGTACCAGTCCTCAGCGCCACTGCCATCGTTACCCTGGCGGGGCAGACGAAGAACACCAAGATGCCAATCAGCACCGTTGGAAGATGTGCTAGTGGAGAAAGGTCCTGCAGTCTTGACGAGCGTGTTGTTGCCGGTCGAATGCCAGAAGCTGACTTGCTTGGAAGAAAAGTTGATCTCGTATACGACGTTATGCCATTCGTCGGCCTTGAGCTCAGTCTTCCACTTACTCTGTCCGCTGACCATCCACTGCCTGTGATAGGAATTAGCAAATTTTCGGATGTGTTGTGTGAACTTTTTGCTTACAGGTTGGTGTTGCTTGTGCCGGATTCTCCGCTGATCCAGCCGTACTTGAGCTCGGTGAAGTGGCTCTCGAAGAAGCAGATTTGGTGCTCGTTGGTCGCACTTGGGACGTTGGTGGAAGACCTCTTGATGGAGTAGTGGTAGTAGACTGTTCCTTGGTTGATAGCAGCCTTGGTCTGGGGAATCAGCTCTGTCCTCCACATGTCGCTGTTCCACTTGGCTGTGCTGTCGATGGTGATCCTGGCACCTTGCTTGCTGCCGGTATCTCCGGGGTTCTTGTAATTTGGCGACAGATTGACGTATTTGGAGGTGGCACCTGATCCGTGGATGTAGTATTGGTAGTCTAGGAAATACCGTCAGGTTCAAAATTCCCTAGTGCAATGAAAACGCGGGCTTACTGCCAACTTGATTTGCCCACGACCACTTGTCCAAGTCTGCGCTTGAAGTCATGTCATTGAAGCGACCGTCCCACAGGATAGTACCTAGATCATGTTAGCGATACTCAAACTGCTCGATGTGAGTAAACAAACCCGCGGAGACGGCGCTGATGAGCGCACCGATAATAGTAGTCTGTCCAAACATCTTGGTGGTAAAGAAGATACAGGTATCTGTGGAGCAAAAGCTTGTTGCTTGCGATTGAAATAGCAGACATTTACTAGGCTATATAAAGGCCGTTCTCAAGCCACACTCTAAAGACATCGAGCCGAGAATCCAGGCGAAGCACCGATCCATGTTCGGAGCTCTGCACATCAATATCCAGGAAACAACTACGGGGTGTCCTCGTTCTCGTGTACCTACTAAATACGTGCAACGTGACCATTCTCCTCAATTAATATATATGTAGCCGGTGGCATTTCCGGTGGTGATGTGCGACTAGTGGCGGCCGCACGGTCCGGGGTACTTTGCATTTCCCTCGCAACTCAAAATACCAAAGCGACGACCCGGAATTCGTTGCGGGGATAACGGCACATGGCTCAATACCGGCGATCTAATTACACCATAGAAATGGGGGAAAGCGTGTGTGTATAGACGAATTGATGTTGATGACATGCTGGTGAAGCCCTGGAGATTAAACTACATTAAAGCGGCGCTTACCTCTTCGGGATTAGATCACGAAGCTTGATGAATGAGCTTTGGGAACGCACATTACGAGTTTTCGCGATCTCGGATACGAAAGCAGTAGAATTGAATGTCTGGCTGGGCAATTTTGGTTTTAATAGTAGTGACATACAGTAGGGAAAGAAATGCAGTGCGCGACCACCGAATCTGCACTGGCACCACTGTAATCTTACACTTTGCCAACGCCAAACTATCGTGGTGCCAGAGCTCATCAAGAGACCAAGACTTTCGCTAACCCAATCTAATGGAATCACCAAGAGCAATTGCCAGATAAAGCTGCAGGCCGGAGATTTTATTACTGAAAGTTTCCAATAACTCCAGTTGAGCATCAAAGTGGGTTCTACATCCCTCAACTGACAGCAGCAGGGTTTGCTCAAGATAGCCGTTCACTACTCCGCTATTCTCTCCCTTACATCTGAAAATGAGGATGAGTGGCGCGAAGCTCACCTCCCCATGACCAGCTCGTTGATAGACATGGTTCGACTCGCGAATGTCTGTAAGATGCTCCCGCACATCAAGGTCGAGTACGGCCTCTCGACTGCCTACCAGTACACTATTATCTATCTCAACATGGGCGGAAATGGGCTGGCTAAAGCCTTTTTGTTAGCAGCCGCGTATTCAGATCTGCTACAAGGTGAGCCCATACACCATCTCTGGTCGCCTGTAAAGCCAACGCGAGAAGGGATCGAGTAATTCAGTGGTATTCATTCGCTGGTATCAAAGTTGTTAAAGGAATGGAGGAAGAAAGAACCCGACGTGATAAACTGCTGGTGACTAGATGCGGCCAAGACTCAGGACGCCATACCTCACTAAGTACCAGTGCTTTATAATTGGATGGACAAGGGCATGTAAAGGGGATTCGGGCGATGTGATAATTGGAGAAGTGAGAAGGTATATGTCAGATCTAGCTCGTTTAGTATTATATCGATAGGGTACGGGGCACAACAAAGATGAATATCAATGATTGCTACCTAGGTAGTCTACGTATCACGCTCAAGTAATCTTGCTTTAGAAGTATCAGAAGCCTTACAGCAACAATGTGATGAAAACGTCGTTCAATAGTTGAGACATGTGATTCGAGTGGCCTGATCGACATCAGTGTTGTGAGCCTGAAGGCTTTGGTCTTGTTGACTGGATGAAACCGTAGATCTTTCTGGCTGGTGTATTGTTCTCGAATAATAAATCTCTTGCATGCTTGGTGTTGAGCACAAAGATAAAGAAACGCAGAGTGCACGCCGGATGCGTCATGTTTCTTTGGTCCATTGTGGTGTGCGACGATGCTTTGGGTCAACGTGGCGTTCGGTGCTATTATAACTTGAAAGAGATTAAAGCGGGTCCGCCGGTGATTGTTGCCTTGGTGACATCACAAACAAGCGACACAGACTTCCCAACTTCACCTCCCAATCATTCGAGCCAGCCCAGAAGTGTCACACGCCTTGCAACAACACCATCGCTGTCGCCAAACCTATACACGACAAAATTAGATCGACACGGCGATAACATCACGGTTCCGACGACATGGCTGATGCGCGCGGAGAATACTGGTACTACGAGGACGGTGTTGATCCGAACAAGATCACAGTTCCAGAACTACGGAGCATTCTACTTCGGCATGGAGTAACCTATCCATCCTCAGCAAAGAAGGCATTTCTGGTCGGTCTCTTTATAGATGCTGTTCTGCCTCAAAAATCAAAAGTACAAAGGATGCTGGCACAAACCAAGCGATCGACGCGGGGTATCGTGGACGTCCCCTCCAGTTCAGCCAGCACTGCGGATACCGACGAAACCGAAGACGAAACCCTCGTGGCTCCTACACCAGCGACGAGACGGATATCGCGGAGAACAACGCGTGGCGGGACGGAGGACGTAGATGTGCCTGCACCACGCGCCAAGACGCCCTCTCGCGCGGTACCCGCCAAACATAGTAGAGCTCTCGAGCCCGACGTGGACGAACGGCCTGCAGCTAGACGCACGCGCAAGAGCGTCACGCCTGCCGTAAAAGAGCCTTCGCCCGACCCAGTGGCGTGGCATCGCAATGACGCGGCTAGTCCCTTTACCCAGGAGAATGTATTCCAGACGGGAGCCTCTTCGCCCGCAGTACCAGATACTACCGCACGTGACCGGCGTAGGCGGACAACAGGCTACGGACGCGAGAGGCGCAGGAGCGACGCCCACCGCCGGCAGACATACCAGCCCAGCAGCCAGCAGCTAGACGAGGGTATTAGCGTACCTACGCGTCGGACATTCGACGTGGCAGACCCGCGTGTGAAGCAGGAGGAGGACGAGGAGGAAGATATTGTAGATGCAGGCGAAGAATTCACCCCAGAAGAACAGCTGGACCTAGTGCGCGAGCGCGCAAAGTCAGGAGAAGTGGATATCCTCCCTCCCCGCAGACGGCGGCAGAAAGCCAAGGCTACTGGCAGGATCAAGGCAGGGGCTGGGACCATTCTTCTTACTGCGGTTACAGTCTTTGCTGGTGTCTGGCGGCAAGAAAAAATCGACGTTGGATTCTGTGGCGTTGGGCGCGATGCTACAGCACTAGCTGGCGTAGACATTCCAAGCTGGGCTGGCCAAATACTCCCGCACTGCGAGCCGTGTCCGCCACATGCGCAATGCTACCGAGGACTAAAGATAAAGTGTGACCCTGATTTCATCGAGAAGGATCATCCACTATCGCTCGGTGGCCTGGTCCCTCTCCCACCGACATGCGAGCCTGATAGCGAAAAGACGCGCAAAGTCAATGGTATAGCCAACAAAGCAGTGGAGGTACTACGGAAACGCAAAGCCCAGTACGAGTGTGGTGAGCCAGACGCGCAAGGGAATCTAGTAGAAAGCCCAGAAGTGAGCGAAAAAGACCTGAAACAAGACATGGCTTCTCGGAAAAGCAAGAGCCTGACGGATCAGGAGTTCAGTGAGCTCTGGGACAGAGCCTTTCCCGAGGTACTTATGCGGGAGGAAGTTGTCGAAACTACCAATGGGTGAGTGTTCTCCTTTCCAATCCATTACGCGATATATCTGACGTGGAATTGTACTAATCAGTCACTCTTCCTTGGACACAGAACAACCAGTGGACGGCGACTCGCATCAACCTCTCTCGCCAAGCTCTCCCTCGTCTGCAGTACCCGAAGATACCTCCGACAGTCTTTTGAACGACATCTTCTCAAAATTATAGGTGCATTTTTATTTGCTTTCCTTAGTTTGTATGGCAAATACTCATACACCCACAACAAATCCATGGAAGCTCGCGCGGCGCAGCTTGCAGCCGATGCGTATGACAGGCTTCAAGATCAAGCTGCACTGAGCTTTTTGGAGCCTGGCGCAGAAAAGGGTATCAGCATGACACAGCTACGTGATGACGTCCTACGCACCGAGTTCAACGCCTCCCGACGACAGAGGTTATGGACAAGGGTTCAGGCGAAGGTCGAACGAAACAGTAATATCCGTGCAGGTGTCCGTACAACAGCCACCGGGGATGTTGCTCGCATGTGGGAATGGATAGGTCCCGTGAAACGACTGGAAGATGGCAGGCGCGAGAGTGGCCGCTTTAGTCTTGGTACAGGCAGCAGCCCTCCTTCTGGAAATAGGGTTGCAAAAGAAGTGAAGAAGTGGGAAGAGGGACGCCCGATTTATTAGCTTTCACGATTTGCAGGTATCTTCTGCTGTATGGACTAGCTTCATGAATGGCGAGCATCATTGGGTGTAACGAGCGGGTGGGGATTTGAAGTTTTAATACCTTGCATGATACCATGATGACTATTTTATCTTATTCTATGCAAATGCCTCTGACCGAGCCACTTCGACTCGACTGCTGGAATACATTACTGTGATCATAACGTCTTGGCGGTGGCTAGTGGGTGGCGCATGAGTATCGGCTTACTAACCTAGCCGAAGCCCACACAACGCTAGCAATATCGGCCCAGCGACCAAACAACTCCAGCAACACCGCCAACCTTTCGCTCCTACTAACCACAGAGCAAATACCGTCAAAATGGTGAGTAAATTATTTGTTGCAACCTTTTCTGCGAAAGATGCGACACCTGCGACACGAGAGAGCGAATCTACGGCTGTCCGATGACGATGACGAACACCCGACCCGACGACTCTACACCCGACAGCGCTTTACACAGACGATGAGCTTAGAAGGGGTACATATTCTGTGTAGGGGGTATCCCAAAAACGTCTTGCATTATACGACAATTATAAGGTGATATCGGGGGTGTCTTTGAGCTGGAAAGAGACGATGACCGGCAAAGCACGAAATGTCGCGCTCATCAATACCGCGCTACATCACGAACAACCTCGTCCACATCTGCCTACAATCGCCTAGAAACAGCCGGAATCCTCGTCAGTCGGGTGTCTCGTTCGATCGCCTCGCCCCATAATTGAAGCCTTCGCTTTAGTCCGACACATTAATATCGCTCGCTGGTGTCGCAACTGTTAAGCGTCATGAAGGAATGGAAATACTACCAGGATATTGATACTGACTAATCTCAGGTCAACGTTCCCAAGACCCGCCGAACCTACTGCAAGGGCAAGGACTGCAAGAAGCACACCCAGCACAAGGTCACCCGTTAGTGGTCCGCTTTCGCTTTCCTCTACTGGTATACTGAGACTTTGCAGAATACAAGGCAGGAAAGGCCTCGCTTTTCGCCCAGGGAAAGCGTCGTTATGATCGCAAGCAGTCCGGTTACGGAGGTCAGACCAAGCCCGTCTTCCACAAGGTACGATTGCCCGCATCCAGCCTACGGAATATATACTAACAAACGTATAGAGGGCGAAGACCACCAAGAAGGTCGTGCTCCGCTTAGAGTGCACCGCATGCAAGACAAAGGCTCAGGTAAACTTCATCGCCTTTATTCTACTGCAAAATGCTAATCCGCATACAGCTCGCCCTCAAGCGATGCAAGCACTTCGAGCTTGGTGGTGACAAGAAGACCAAGGGTGCTGCTCTCGTCTTCTAAGCGTGCACCTTCTTTCTATCTCTTTTGCTGGGCTCTCGGCGTAGTCTTCGGGCGGATGGAATGGACGGCTCTTCCTTCGAATCAAGCAATGCATCAACCATGAGCGCGACACGAATGAAGACGTGTGAGGCGGAAGATTTGGCGACACAAGGTCACCAGCCACGAATTTACGGACTGTAACCTACATATGCATCAAATGGAGCTCGATTGAAGGGACCGCAAAACAAAATTCTTATTTCAAATTAGTGATACCATCAATCTGTTCCACGTGAAATTGTCCAGATACAGCAGGTACAACCGACGCGGCTCCCGAGGTCGGTGTTAGACGGAGTCATCTGCGAGAGTAACGGCGACCCCTCCACCCCCACTAACGTGTCGCGTCCTCGGTATATCAACGAAGCCCAGCGCTACTTCTTCAATGTAAGTTTATACGATTATTCATCCCGAGCTCTACACGATGGCTGAAAACAAAAAGACTGTTCTCATCGTTGGTGGCGGCGCAGTCGGTGCAATTGCAGCAGTCAATCTCGAGGTTGGTGGACTTGCAACAGTTACTGTCGTACTACGGTCCAACTATAATGTCGTCAAAGATGAAGGTTACACGATCAAGAGTTGCGACCATGGCAACCTGAATGGTTGGAGACCTAGTGTTGGTATGTTGGACCCTATCGACCGTCTTCCCAGTCCCGCAAGAGTTGGATAAGTTAACATGATCAAGTTCGCAACACTGTTCCCAACCTCATCGAAGAAAACCTTGAACCATACGACTACGTCGTCTTGTGCACCAAGAATGTTCCCGATGTTTCGCCAACAGCAGTCGATCTTATCACACCAGCACTGCCCAAGAACAGCAACAAAACTACTCTTCTTCTCTTACAAAACGGATTGAACATTGAAAAGCCTTTCTTGCGCCCGCATCCCACCATCCCGATCCTCTCTGGTATCTCGATGATTGGTAGCGAGGAATCTTTGCCTGGCCACATCGTACAAGATGAAGCGGATAGGCTGCTCGTCGGTGCCTTCCCTACATCAAACATCAATCCCGCTGTACCAGAACGAAGAGCAGAGGAGTTTGTTGAAATTTATAGTAAAGGTGGGAAGACCAACTGCCAGTATTCACCAAACGTTCTACATGATCGCTGGAAGAAGCTCGTGTTCAATGCCTGTCTGAACCCGATTTGTGCCATTACAGGTCTGGATGATGGACGCCTACGACTCGCTGACGGAGCGTTGGACGGCTTGGTCAGGCCTGCGATGCGAGAGATTGTCGCAGCAGCAAAAGCAGTTTGTGGTGTGGAGCTCACGGAGGGTGTGGTCGAAGAGACGATCCATGTTGACCCCTTGGAGAGCTACTTGAAGCCGAGTATGCAGCAAGATCTAGAGAAGGTACGTTTGCTTGACAGTGTCGCTGATCTACGACTGACGATTTCAGGGCAACTTTATCGAGTTCGAAAACCTGTTGGGTGAGCCTTTGAAAGAGGGCAAGAATGCTGGTGTTCCAATGCCGACCCTCGAGGTATTGTATCAGCTCTCTAAGGCTATACAATGGCGGACTAAGGAGGCGAGAGGGCTTGTTACTGTGCCGATGGCGAAGTCGTGATACTCATCAAATACATACTGCTGAGCTTACTACCACTAACAGCAGCTTGGTCAATTGTAGAAGTAGACTGCATCCTCATTCCGTAGTACTAAAAGTTGTACATGTTTACAACGCTGCTGGTCCATTCTCTGCTGTCGCGTCCCCATGACTATATAAAGATTTGCTCACATTAACATAATGTCTTTCCCCGCGTCATAAGTCCATTAATATTGCATGTACAATCCTAGCGGCATCGAGTGGGCGTGTGTTCTGATATGAGGTCTACAGTATATGTCCTTGGATAAGCCACACAGCAGTCGAATAGAAGTCAAATAAGACAATGCCGAGTCTCGCTCGTATCGCGATCACAACGCGGCCCACATCGCTATTTGTTCGGAGAGAGCGAGATGTTCAGGAAGCATGACCATCCGAAGCAGCGTTGTAGGGGTCGTGATTGGGCGGTCATGGGTTCGTCTAGTAACAGTGGAGGGGAGTTCCTGATGGCAAAGCGGGTCAACACGCTGCCGCTGCAGGGGCTGATGATCTATCACCGAAGAAAACCGGTAGGATACGGGAGGATTTGGGCATCGAGGGGCGTGCGAAGCTGGGATGAACCAAGTTTTGATGCGCACCGAGCTGTTGCTGACCAGGGCCATGGTGGCGGTGCAGCCGTTCGGCTTAGGTCATGCTTGGCGAATGACGAATGACGCTGCTGTGAACCAGCTGGTGGGTGCCGCAAAGCTACCAGAGTCAGGAATCTTCTTAAACTAATCCACGTGAACGTTTGCTAGCTGCTATCTTTCTTGTGACTCTTTCCCGCGTCGCATGCTTCTATTCCAGAAGCCTACCCAATATAACCATCTTTGAGCGCTTCAAAGCGCATGCGCCTAGGGCTTGGAATCCACTCAGCCACGATTCGCTCAGCTACTTGGTATCACGGCAACCTTGGAAGTTCACTGAAAGCCACGCATCTGGGCAGTCAGACAACCTCAGCCGACGAAGAATCAGACTCACCGACTCTTCAAGTGTGCTTTTAATCACATATACGCATCCAACACTCGCTCGCACACGCATCGCAAAGGCAGCACCCAACCTTGGCCCTGCGAATACCCTGCTCTCCCACAACCAGCGCGCAAACTACCTCGGATATGGCGTTAAACGGAGTGCGCCGGAAAGACACAACAAAGGGTCCGCCGTTGCGCATTCTTTCATTAGGTACGTCGGCGACATCACGGCTTCGATACGACAGGTGCTAACGCGCGTGACAGATGGCGGAGGCGTGCGGGGATATTCCATGCTCATCATTCTACAAGAATTGATGCACCGAACTTTTGTCGAGACAGAAGGCCGAGCCCCAAAACGAAACGAAGTACCAAAACCATGCGAACATTTCGACCTCATAGTAGGCACTGGCACTGGCGGTCTGATCGCCATAATGCTGGGCCGCCTAAGGATGGACGTCGAAACGTGCAAAGACGTCTACGTCCGCATGACAAGAAGAGTGTTTGAGACAGACAAGACATTTGCTGGCATACCATATCGGTCAACACTGTTCAAGGCTTCGAAACTGGAGGAGGCTATCATGCAATGTGTACGGGAACACACCATCTACGATGACGAGGGTAACGACAATCACGATGGACGTGACGCACCACCCATGACCCCCGGAAGTGCCATATCTGGCCGTATGCAAAGGAGCGCTAGTAATGCCAGCAACTACAGCCAGATTGGTATGACGCCCGTGAGCATGCGGATAGCTGCCATGAAATGGGGGAACCCCCATGCTCTGCTCTACGACAACCGTGAGGAGCGCACCAAAACGTGAGTGAAGTGTCTAATCTTCGTCTAACAGAGAACTGACTATGTGCAGTGCCGTAACAGCCGTCTACAAAGGCACGAGAAAGTCTGGCGGTGGCCAGATCCTCCTACGCTCTTACGACTCACGCAAAGAGCCCCCCATCGAACCCAACGCGACAATATGGCAAGCCGGCCGAGCTACTTCCGCAACTGCGTTGGCTTTTAAGCCCATCCAGATTGGCCAGTCCGTTTTTCTTGATGAAGGCTCTGGAAAGTACAACCCAGCCCCAATGGCTCTTGACGAAGCCGTCTGTAATGAATGGCCCGGGCGTGACGTTGGTGTTTTCGTAAGCATCGGTACCGGAAAACGACCAGAGGGCACAAATGCTCAACAGCACTTGTGGTGGGAGAGCTTCATTGCAGGTGGCATGGGCGATTTTGCCGAGGCGAGGAGGAAACTCATCCTAAAGATCGAAGACTGCGAAAGAACACACAAGGAGATGAAGGATCACCTCGCGAAACGGCATGTGAATCCGGAAAACTACTACCGCCTGAATGTAAATGTTGGTGTTGGTGAATTCGGAATGAACGAGTGGAACGCCTTGGCAGAAATCAGCACCAACACCCGCATGTATTTGGCAGAGAAGACTGTACAGGGCATGACCCTGGACGCTGCAGCAAAAATAGCGAGGATACACTTCGCCAAAGTGCGATGGGAGCGCGCTGCGAAGGGAGAGTCACCATACTCAGCCGGTGCTCAGGCGCCAAACAAGCCTCTTCCAGGCGTTCCCGATCCAGCGCCCATGGCAGTGGAACTACCCGCCGAAGAACTTGCACCAGAGTATTACACAAACATACATCCCGCCTTCCGGCCCCCGCCAGACGACCGCCGACCGTCCGATAGCGACAAGTACCTAGTAGTAACCTCAGAAGAGTATCCTCACTCCGCAAGCACAGACGGCTGGACTGACCTCCTACCCCGACATTCCGGCGAGCTTATCTCCCCTGGCCGTCGCTCAGACGAGCAATTCTCAGCCGGAAGACCGATATCCATGCTCAGCTCTGCAACTAGCTGGGACGACCGGTTATCAAACGCACCACCCAGACCTCCAAAGACTCCCCTACAAGATGATCTTAGGCCACGACCTTTGTCACCCCTTGGTCGCTTATCGCCGCCTGCTGGATCGGCGTTTTCTAGACCGCCGCCTGGAGCGCCATTGCCATACCCGGATACTGATGGCCCGCCGCCGATTGTTAATAAAGCTACGAAACCGGATTATACTCGTTGATGATGCGGAAAGTAGGGTATGGAAGTTGTATATATTTGCTTCGGCAAGGATTTTTGCGTTCGAAGAGGTGGCTGGATGTCGTTGATGAACCTCACTTTTTCTTATGAAGATTGATAATAACGACTTGTTGAACACACGGCTGATTCAAGGAAATTGGACGGCTTGATGAGATAGTTTAGATACCCATTCAATGTTTTTATTACTGATTCTGTCGAGTCTGCATCGCATTTGTTCTCAATCTCCCCTCGTTTCCAAAAGAACTAACTCCCATTTCCATGCTCCACAGAGCTGTGCAGTGCTGTGCAGTGCAGTGCTGTGCAGTGCAGTGTCGTCTTGTGTTGGCTCAGCTTCGCTCACACGCACATACATCCGCATCGTACGTATCAATCATGCTGAGCAACCAATACTGACAGACCTCACTCCTCCTCATCAGCAACAACAACCTCCTTCTCCTCACTCTTCTTCTTCTTCCGCCCCCTTTTCGTAGGCGTACCGTCTCTTTCGCCAGCAGCATCACCCTTGCTCTTCCGCTTACACGGTGTAATAGGCTTCTTAACCTTGGTCTTGGTCTCATTTCCGTCTCCGTCTTCGCCCTCGGCTTCGTCTTCACCGCGTAGAGCGGCGAGGTCGGCTTTCAGCGTTCCCTTGAGTCGGTCGACCATGATGCGGCATGCGCCAACGGATTTTCCAGCGGGGCGGGGGGCGGTCTGGTTGGGCGTTAGTGGTGGTGTGGGGAGGGAGGGTAGAGGGAGAAGGGAGGAGGGGAGATGGAGATGGGAGGGTACGTACCAAGAAGTCAAGTTTCACATTCGAGTGTTCGACGAAGGAGAAGTAGTATGCAAGCTTTGGTTGTAGAGTTAGTACATGTTTATTGTGAAGGAGGGGTTAGTGGGGGTGAGACGTACGCGCTGGCGATCGGTCCATCCTTTACCGTTGGGGGTGGTGGAGGCTTTTTCGGTGTCTGACATTGTGGGTTGTGGTGTTGGTGTTGTTGGTGATGGGAGCTGGAAGCTAGATGTTGAAAAGTGTGTTTGTGGGGTTGGTGCGAGTAAGAAAAGGTTTGTCGCTGGGGGAGAAGAAGAAGAGATAGTGGGAAGGTGGGGTGAGAGGGTTCTTATGAAGGTAGCTGTGGACTAAGATGGGGGTGTGAGTGGTGAGAGTGTGTCTTGTGGCGCGTGCAAATTACACCAGGTGAAAGTGAGTGCGATGATACTTGTAATTTTAGTCATAAAGTTCGGTTGTACCAGGGTGCAATGGAAGTGAGTAAGTAGATTTTTGCACGTGGGGTCAAGAGGAGCATGATGGACAGAAGTAAGATGATGGACAAGAGTATGATTCTGATGTTTTCCTGATTCGCACGTCTTTCAAGAACTATGCTTCAAGATACCCTTTTGAGCATCTTGCCAAAGTTCGCCGATCATGCTGAGCAACTATGCTAAGCAAACTCTGAAGTAGATCGCTAAAGCCCCATGCGTTCGTACGAAATCGCCAAACTATGAAAGATGGAGCCGGAGTAGCAGTAGACCAAGGAGTTAGATTTCCTCCTCATCTTCGTCATCGTTCTTAGGCTCATGCTTGACACCAGCTTCCTTCCTCTCGTCATCGGCATCGGCGGCAGCATCCTCCTCGACAACGGCTTCGGACTTGTTCTTGTTCTTGCGGCCGCGCTTGGAAGGAGTAGTGGGAGACTCAGCGTCTGCATCGGCAGCCTTGGCCTTGCGCTTGCGTGGAGTACTAGTAGGAATAGCCTTCTTTGGCGTGCGCTCCTCGATGGGCCTGCCTTCGTACAACGCCTCCAGCTCATTCTTGAGAGTCGACTTCAGGCGCTCCATCATGCGCTGGCACGCGACGACGGTGCGACCTTCAGGACGTGGAGTAGCCTGGAGCCGACTATCAGTGGGAGGAACGTCATTTGGGTAGACACAGTGGCGACTTACGTTGTAGTCGAACTTGACGTTGGACTTCTCGATCAGAGCGAAGAGGTAGGTCAGCTGATGGGAGGTTAGAGAGTAGGAGGAAAGCTTGACGAAGTGAGTACGTACGCGCTCCTTGTCAGTCCAAGCTGCTTGTGAAGACATTCTTTTCTATGTCTTGTTGATGTTGCTGGTGTGTTCTGTAGATGGGGCTTGAGGTTGGGTGCTGTGATGGTGGTAAGCTAGCAAGTGGAGGTATGGTGGAGGAAGGTAAGAGGGTAAGAGGTTGAGGTATTCCAGACTTATATGGTGGGGCTATGTGTGATGCCACTAGTTGGGATTGGTCTGGTTGTCGAGACGACTGTGAGAGCGGGGGAGGAGATGGGGTGAAGGCGACTTGGTCACACATGAGTCACGTAGTCTCAGGGCAAGTGCAAGTACGAGAGTAGATTTATGTGTAGTTGGCTGTGCATCCATGCGCTCTCTGCTAAGTGCACCGCCCTATTCAATTTTTGAACTGTAAAGGCCTTTGTGCTGGGCAAGAAGATGTAGCTATTTATCGTGCCGGAAAACTCAGAGCCTGCTACCCATTTCCAAACTCCGAAATACCCATCAGCACCAATTCTTCATGACATAAATCTTCGAAGAGTTGTCTGATCGTTTCGTAAAATTCTCAAAGCACTTAGATTTCATCCTCAAAGTTGTCCTCAAAGTTGTCCTCAAAGTTGTCCTCAAAGTTGTCCTCAAAGTTGTCCTCAAAGTTGTCCTCAAAGTTGTCCTCAAAGTTGTCCTCAGAGTTGTCCTCAGGGTCGACCTTGACGGTAGTGTTGTCAATTTCATCGTCTTTTGGGGTCGCTGACTGCTTCTTGGATCTACCGCGGGACTTCTTGGGGGTGGTCTTGGGGGTAACCTCGTTATCGGTGTCGTTCTCATCAGTCTTGGCCTTGCGTTTACGAGGGGTCGCAGGCTTCTTGGCTGGAGTCGTAGTCACAGCAGTAGAGTCGGGACCATCAAAGGCCACACCGGCCTTGAGGGCGTCGATCTCGGGCTTTAGGGCGACCTTGATCCTGTTGATCTTCTGACGGCAGCCACTGACGTTGCGACCCTCAGGAATAGGCGCAGTCTGTGACATGTTAGCTTGGGATACTTTGTATCTGTCGAGAGATGTAGGCAACTTACGTTGTAATCAATTGTCCAGTCGGCAGTGTCCATGGCGCTGAAGAGGTATACGAGCTGATGAATGTTAGTGTTATCGCAGTAGAAGAGCTCGTGATGAACATACGACTTCGTGATCAGTCCAACCTGCCTTGCCAGCCACTGCCTTGGCCTTGCCGTCGGTTTCAGACATGATGCTGGTCGTGAGAGCAGAAGTCAGAGCAGCAAGCGAGGGCGATCCACCGACGTCAGAGGAAACAGACAAGATAAGAGGAAGCAGTGGAGATGAGAGCTCGATGTTAGGTTTAGCACTCCAGGACTGTAAGTGATACTATGTGGGGCTCGCTTAAGGCAGAAGCGAAACTTCTCACGATGAGATTGCACGCGTGGTTCACTGGCTAACAGGCAGCATGCGCAGTGTAGGTGAATCTTAATGTCTTGGCAACGATGTCGCTGCACAGCAACAGAGTGGGGCTTCAACACGAAAATCTATATGCTCTAGATACATCCAGGTAGATTTGATTTCGATGACGCGCAATGTCTGTATTGTGTAAGCGTACATGGTCGATCCTAGTGCGCAGCTTTGACTGACAGCATGCTAAGAGCCGTCTGCAACTTGTCACACACCAGGCCTATTGACCTTTTTTTAAGTCACTAAGAAACGATTCCTATCATATGCACATCTTGAACACAAACAATTGCCTCAAAAGCTTGCTTAAACAACCAGCGGCGCATGTTATGAATTTGACAGTTTGATACAATTGTAAGGAGCCCGTACAGTGAATCTAATCATCTTTATGTCGCATTCAACTATCCGAATCGATCATCGCTATATCGCATGCGATGATCTGAATCGATCATCGTGATAGTGCATGTGTTATGTACGTACCTAGGTATGTAGCGAAATACCACAACAGTGAACTCAACGAACCAAACACCCAAAGCAAGATGAAAAGACCATGAGAATTTGAAGGATGTATCGAAATGAATTTTAGGTATGCAAAGAAAGACAGTGCAACAGTACACTACCCACACCCATCCCCCAAAACACCCACCTTCACAGCCTCGGCGAATATCTCGGCACATTACCACACCCACACCCACCCACCCACTCCTAGACAAGATCAAACAACACCAGCCCTATATACCTATCCACGAAAACCCCTTGACCCCTTCCAATCCCATCTCAACCTAGTCCCCATCCTGATCTACTACCAATCCCCCGTACCAAACCACCCGATAAACACCCCGACATCCGACCTCCGACCACCCCAACCCCGATTCCCACTTAAGTACCCTCCCTTGCACTTCCGAACCCCGGAATCGCATATACACCCCGGATTTGAGCTGCAAACCCCGGTCAATTGACCCCCATGGGTGGGTGACCGGTGGAAGTGGGTCCCCTACTAAGTAAGCGGGAGCTCCCGCAGCACGCACAGCACGCCAGTACGGTACCTTGAACGGAACCCGGGACGCCAGTGCTGGCTGTCAGGCTGTCACTTTTGCGCATTGCATTGGCGTGGGGGGGGGGGGGGGTTGGTTAATATATGTGCGTGTGTGGGGTGGGGGTGGACATGACTGCATACGGACTTGACTTGATTTCATCGTCGCATATGGAGAGGATGTGATAACCGACGGGATATATCATGAAACATTATGGCTGAGATATGGCACAGGCTGATTGTTGATTGTGGACTGACAGTATTTTTCGGATAAGGGAGGGGGTGCCGATACGGGACACGGAGTTTCGTTTTGTGAGGCGGAGGGGGTACATGATGAGACATGTGGTGGTGGCGGTGGCGTGGCGGTGTAGATAGTATAGCCGATATGG